AAAATAATATTATGACAAGTGGTATACACATTTTAATAATATCCTCTGAGTGCGTATGTGTGTTACACACTAGTTGCTCGTATATTTATTAGAGATCCACATTCTGATACCTCTCCTCATTATTTTTTCATCAAAGTACCATTACACTGGACAGACAGCGTTCGAAAAGAAAATGATATTATACATACCTACAGCTGTACAATATTAGATTTAAAAACTCGATAAAACCCGACGTAAATGTAATCAATATTATTATGTTTAACATACACATATTATTATGCATAATGAGTGTACTTGCGTCTTGCAATAACTCGAAATTCGTATCGTTATATACAAACGTTTATGTTTAACAATATTATGACTAATTGGAAATTGGAAATTGTACAATTTAAGACAGATGACAATATTGAAAAACAGTTGAACGATTACGTTGCGTCCTACTGGCGGCGGAATCAATTATATCGCAACATGATAGATTATATACATAAATATTTTGTAATTTGGTTTTTTCTTATTTAAATTCGGTAATATTTAAGAAGAGTGCCTACGTGATACGTCAATCATTCGCATTTTAGCATGATTACAGTTTTGCAAAAACACTAACGTTATGTAACTAAAATATTGTTTAGCCGGTCTCTATGTGTACCTATACATCTTTGAGTAGGTTCAATATTTATAAAAAAAATTATTACATTTCGTACAAAATCGAATCTAGTTTCCCACGACTCACGAGTTTATTTATATCGGATCACAAGTAGGGAAAAACACACAACAAAACACAGAGCACACTTTTACAGATGGTCGATGGATGTAAGCCCAGGCGTTCCATGTTTTAAAATCCGAATGATATTCAAGCCCCGAGCCCATTTCGGACATTCCACACTAGACTCATGGGATCGTTTAAGATAATAACAAGATTGAAAGCACACATCAATGATTACCTACACAATACACGTTGAATGGCTGCGATAACGTTTAATTATAACAATTATGCAGCGCTTTATGTTTACCCGTTTTTAATATTCATTGCACACACCAACATCGAATTTATGTGTTAGTTCTCACAGAAAATGCCTTCGATACGGGCAAACTAAAATAATCATAATAATAGGTGCCAAATTTACAAAAATTATTGAATGTTCTAGGCTTTGGAAAACACAGTTGTAATAAAGTTTTCATTTTTCACATAATTTTTTTTTTTTAAAGGGAACAAACTTAAAGTAAATGGAATTTATGGAGTATTAAAGCGAATGACCACGCATGTATCAGGATGACATAATAAGCTGTAAAATCAGTGCATTTTTATAAATTATACAAAAATTTTAACATTGATAGAAAATGTTTAATATCATTCATGTATTTAAACCTATTGTTTCAGTGCTCTTTATAATGGATATGGTCGTAACAATCCGTACAATCATTTGAAACTATTTAAAAATAGTTAAATGTTTATTATAGAATTACCGAGTAGTGCTTGACGTTTTTGTTTCTATTCTGGCCACTACAAGTATCAGAGAAAACCGTTATCCGAGTGACATTTTGGTTTAGTGAATTTATGTATCGGTTCAAACAAGTACCGACCTCACTGCTTCCTCTTTAGCCATGAACTTAAGTCCAGACATAACAGTAAGCTTAATTAGGCAATGCTCCTTTGTATATTGTCAAGTTATTATTTATTAATTATTTTGATTATTTTTTTTTATTTGTAAAATTGTAATAAATTACATTTATTAAATAACTTAGATCTAAAATTTAGCTTGAATAGTACAGTACACAAAAACGTTAAACAAAAATTAGAACATTTAATATTCACTTATAAATTATAATAATATATACTAATTATATAGATATTTTTTTACATCACAGGTTCCCAAATATTGTATTATTAGTTTAGTGTTAAAATTTAAGTGGCTGAAAACGAAATCACCCTTCTGGATACGCAACTGGTTGTCATTAGCAATAGCATTGTTTAGCATTGTTTTTCATCTGTGATACCTTCAAGAAAATATTGAAGCAATGACTAGTCTAAATTGAGGTAGTTGTTATCACTATACATGGATAACGCGAAAATTATATTTAAGAAAATGGTAAGCTTGAAATATGTACATACAAAAAAAACTACATCGTACGGTTGTACCAAAATGACAAAATCTGTCGGAGAAATCAAGTTAACGTGTTACTAGATAATATATTCATGGTTGATGATACGGTTTCAATACAGTAGCTTATCGCTAGTCACACATTAATAAGTAATAACAGTTTTAAATCCATTCTACCATCTCTATAAAATAAAAATAAAATAAAAACCGACGTACCCATGATTATATATTATTACGCGCCCTAAACTATTTTACTTCAAAAAACCATTCCCCTCTACGCTCAACATTTTTCGACTTTATTATACATATAATATAAGAATAATCATACACCATGACTCAGTGGATACTTAGTGAGTGTTTAAAGGGCTAAAATACAAAAGATTCGAGTCGGATTGCCGTGTACCCAACTGCTACGAAGTAGGCATAAAAGAAATAATGTGTCTGTATATATTTATATACATAATAATACAACACACGTCACTTTTAAAATACCGGGGTCAACAACATCGCTTATCCAATAACTTTTGGCTTTAATAATTATTGAAACGTTACATTACTACTTAAAATAGCTAATAATCAAGATCAAAACATGATAATATCTTATTTATTCGCAGTGATCACATTACTTAAAAAAATAGATAACTCAAAAACCATAGATATAAGGTATATGTATAACTCGCATGTAACAATATATTAATATGTAATAATTGGAGGTTATAAAAAAAATTCTAAACACGATATTTAATTATAAATATATCAATATATGTAAATGTATCAATAAATTTTCCTTTTCCAAACACTGATTTTAATACATATACGTGATTCGTTGAATTTATTAATAAAGAGCTAAGAATATTATTATAAATGTTAAAACTATAATTCAACTTTGAAAAACGTGATATTCACTTTAAACATTTTTTGCAGTTAAATTTAAGTCCAAAGCTTTGAACACGATACAGTTAAGAAACCCAGAATAAAAAAAATGATTCATTACTTGTATTTGTTAACACCCAAAATCAAAAACCTGGTACAACCGATAACTGTAAATAAATGATTATTTAATATGTTCAGTAATTTTTACTTGTAAATAACAAATACTAATTAGTGATAATTTTTGAAAAAGAAATACATAACCCACACATAACTGGATTACATTTTGGGTAGTTTCCAAAGTAATAAAAATATTGACTGTGGTACCAGGAAAAAAATTCTAATAGGCATAACCTGATACCCAAATTAAACAATTACTATTCAAGTTCTGATTAAACCCCATCAACATAAATATTCAAATGCAACAAGAGTATATATAATAAATTTAAAAATGTTTAAGTTAAATTGTTTATTTAAGAAAGTTAATCAGGAAAACTCTTTCCTGCTACACAAACGTTTTAAAAAATCTGTAAAATGCAAATATTTTCTTATTGCATTAGAAACATTTTATATTTTCTCTACCTTTTAGAAACTTAATTTCTGTTTCTTAGGTATTCACAGCTGGCAGTCGGCAGACTTAGTTCCTTTTCTACACAAAGTACAACAAATAGGGTGGAGCAGAAATTTAAAGTGTTTCAACGAATTAAAAAGGGTTTATTTGCCAAAAAATATACCCCTTCACAAAAAAAATGAAGTCAAACAAAAACATAGCTGTAAAAAACTTTATTTTCCACAAATAAAATTATAACTTAAATCAAATTACATCTAATAGATAATAGATTTTGGAATTCATACTTTATAGGCTTCAAAGCATTGATTTATTCCTTTGATATACAAACTTTTTCCGTCTCACTTCACAAAGTCATATTTGTGAAAATGGTGACTTATTACCTTTTATGAATAAGCGATTCAGTTATGGATATAATACATATCATCTTGTAATTAACCAAAAATTGATATATTTCATTTTTATGTATAACAACAGAATATTATTAAAGACACAAATAACTTAACATGAAGAAATATGTTTTTTAAATTTGATAAAAAAAATAGGCAAGCAATATTTCTATTGCTCTTATGGGATCTTAATTACATTTTTGGTTTACACCAGTAGCCATTTAATCATCAATATTGTTTTGTTTCACTGTGTTTTTTACTGACTATTTACAAATAGTTTACATATTAAAACTATGTCAAAAATGAAACAAAATATTATACTAAATTTAATTCAGTTATGAATCTATAATTACTCTTCAAACTTTGTTCTATACTCTATCTCTTCTTACACCTTCCAATTCTATTATTTGTCCTATCCATTTATGAATTATTATACTATTAAGTTGATAAATTATAATATCAATGATATACCTAGATAAACTAACCTAATGTTATCAATTACAGCATCTTAAATGCATTCAAGAGACGTACATATAGATATGTGCATACACCTTCTTCCTAAATGTTTAACAACAGGATAACTTACCTGTATATTATAAAGTCTATGCTTATCGAAAATATCAAATTTCTTGTACACCAATACTATGTATAGTAAACATATGCCAATAATATTTAAACTCCAAATACCAGTATCATAAACCTAAAAAAACCGTCAACCTCAAGTTATATATTAAGTATTAAAACTATAAACATTTATATTATTCAACATCTATATTCTGTGATTTTTATTTTTTATGTTCGATACTTTTTATTATATTTTTGTATTTATCTACATTTATTGCAATATTTATCAAACTATCTTATATGTTTTACACTATAACTATTATGTAATTTTATATGTTTTTAATTTATACTCATAACATGAATGTCTGATATGGTATACTGTGTCACTATAGGCAACCTGGTAGACAGGCAGTCCGCTTTATATTTTAATATATGTTAAGTTTTAATATATTTTAAGTCTAGGTTATAACTTATATTTTATTTACAATCAAGTTTAAAATAGATTCATACCTGAAGATTTTAATGCTTTTGTTGCAAATGGAATAACTAAGTGAGGATGAGGTAAATCTAAAAATACTGCATCCGCTTTTCCTGTGATGTTATCACAAAAACCATTTTCGCAAACATCTCTACAAAAAAAAAATTAACAGATTTAATACATAGGTTATTGTCTATTTTAAAATAATTAATTACCTGCACTGACAAGTTACAATATCAGATAATCCATGGGTTTTAAATTCTTTTTGTGCCTGCTCTGCTCTCTGTTCATGAAAATCGTAAGTATATACATGACCAAAAGGTTTTACTCTTAAGGCCATGGCATGAGTTAATGACCCACTACCAGTACCTAGACAATGTATAATACCACTCAGAAACTGTAAACTCTATAAATATGTATGTAATTATTTAAAGAAGCATACCTGATTCTATCACAATGCTTCCAGGTTTCAGTTCTAACATAAACATAATAAGACTAATATCTGGAGTATAAATTATTTGTGTTCTGTGAGGTAATGTTTGTGTCCACAATTCAGGAGTTGGATACAACACATAAGCCCAACCATGAGATAAATTTACTTTTGATCCAAATCGTTTTCCAAATAGTGTTGATATTTTTAATGCCCCATACTTAGTTTGCATGACGTTTTCCACTTTTTCGCCTTTACGATTTTCAATTGTTGATTGGACTCGTATGGCATACATGTTTTGAGGATTGATGTATAATATGACGGTATCATCTTCTTCAATAATATCCTTATAGCCGTTAAAACTCATGTCTAAAACCATACCGTTTACGGTTATAATTTTAAAAAGTAATTGGCTTGTTTGTTTAAAGCGCCTTAAAAATTTACTAAAAAATGTGCTATTGTAAATTGTTATCAACTACTATAGTATGACTAAATTAAAATTATATTTAGGATTCTTACCTTTGCAGTATGTTTAATATCCAATGACTCAATTAATTATCAAAAACTACGGAAACTAAATAATAGATAATTATTTACATGTCATGTATGTATGATGTATTTATTCAAAAATGTAAGGGATTAGGAAATTGGGAGCCAAAACACAAGTCTAAATTTTGAACCAACTGACTTTTCATATTATTACAGTTGTCAGTTTCACTAATCAGAGGCCACATTATTTAATTGCGGTATTATCAATTTTAGGAGAGCGTGCAGATCGGACACTGACTCTTATCAGTTATCAATATTAAAGACGGCACCAAAGTGATCAATTCACCTGGGACGGCGCCATATTTCACAATCTTCACATTAATAATGTCCTAAACCATAGAATAAAAAGTTTATCTAAACATATAAAAATATTAATCCGAAATAATAGTCCCAAACAATTCATTCTTTAATTTACCCATTAAAATTTGGAATTTTTTGTTTTAAGTTGTAGTTGTTAAGATGTAGTAACTAGAGATGGCAATTTTTTTTTATAGATTGGCTGACAATTTGTATTATTATTTCCAATTAACATATTTGCCATTGGCCTGTTAATAGGTGTATTTTTTTTTTATACTATGCATCTTTCATTTTTTTTTTAATACTCCATCGTTATACTGGAATAAAATTAGGTATATATAGTTCGTACCAGTATAATATAGTTCCTACCAAAAGTGGCTTTTAAAATACAGGCTTACAAACAAATATTGACAGTACTATTTTTAAGTATTGATAAAATGTAATAGGTAGTAAAAAATATATCAAAATTACTATAAACATATGTATAAAATCTAAATAGTCTAAATAAAAACAATATCTGAATATTTTTTTTAAACCTGTTTTGAAACAAAAAATTCTTTGACATTAAAATTAATATAGATAAATATCTACAAATTGGAATTAAAAATAGTAAATTTTATGTATGCAGGTAAAATAGTTTTTTTTGGAAAATTACAATTATTGTGGTCCCTCCCCAAGTCTGTATCCTGTGTTAATGCATCAGTAATAGTAATAACTTGTACCTATCACTTATTAAGTGGAGTTACAAACATTATTATAAAAATTAGTTAAAATAATTTTCTATCAACCCTTTGTTATATACTATCACTGATGACCGATTGTTTCCTACTGGTTACATTAATTTATAATCACTAAATTTTAAGTTTTGGTCAATTAACTAGTTGTTTGAAGTTTCCTAGTATCATAACCTAATTAACGCAACAAACTGCATAAATATTTGATTAACAATATAATAATACATAAACAATTAATAAAAACATGTATATATATATATATATTGATATAATTTGTATGACATAAAAAGATATTTTTTATACTTCATTTATAAAATTGCAACACCAAAATTAGCTATTAAATTTAAACGTTAACAAATGCCCCCAACATAATATGTTAATCATTTAGGTATTTAAAACTACATATGTTATAATTTATAAATTATAACATAGCATTGAAAAGTGCAGATAGTTAAAAATAGAATTCAAGCCTTAATTATTGAATACTACCCAGTTTTAAATTATATATTATATAACAGTAACAATAGATAAATGTTACAAGATATAAGTGTTACATTTAATAAAAAATATTTGATTGAGCAAAAACAGTATATGATACTGATTACTTAATACATGTTAAAATATTATAAAAGGTAACAAATTATAGGACAATAAAATAATACAATAACGATAAATTCATTTAAAACATATTAAAAATAATTTTGTTGGCATAAACTTAAAAATTACTTTATATTAATAATCATTTAAATAATTGTTGTCCATTTCTCACTAAAAAAGTAAATAATAGTTAATGTCTTACAAAATATTAATAAAAATCATCAATACATGGAATACATTTTGAAGTATAAAATAAAATACATTTTCTCTATGTAAATAATATTACAAACAAATTTTGAAGAAGTACATAATAATTTATTGCATTTAGTACATTGTTCCTTTAGAGTATGTTTGTTTTGTTATAATATATAAAATTAATATACAACAAATAAATGTATTTTTTAAAGAAAACATTTATAAATAATACATTTTACAATTCCTTAGAACAAAGAAAATTTAAAAATAGTTTCTGATCGTTTTTTATAAATGTATTTGAGTTATTAGTTGTATTTAATAAAATAATTTATTTTCTTAACATTATATTTTTAAACTACAGCTAATAGGAAAAAAACTTGTATGTATATCAAATCACAGAAAACTTTAAAGTTTAATAAAATCCTTGAAATTTTCATAATCGGAATCTGAAGCAAATAATTTTGATAGCTGACTAAATGTGGGTCGTTCTTTAGAATTATAAGCCCAACACATTTCCATTGTTTTATAAACTTCGACTGGACACCTAGAAGTTCTTTGTAATCTTTCTCCTTTTTCTAATATACCAATTACATCTACACCTTTCATATCACCATAGGGCTGTTGTCCATACGAGAACATCTCCCATAAAGTAACACCGTAACTCCACACATCACTAGCACTAGAAAATGTTCCATAATTACAAGACTCTGGTGCATACCATTTAATTGGCCATCGTCCACCGTGTGATGCTCTATAATAATCCTTATCAACGTTTAATGTACGTGACAAACCAAAATCACTTATTTTTGCTTGATGTCTATCTGCTAAAAGTATATTCCTTGCTGCCAAATCCCTGTGCACAAACCGTTTTTGTTCTAAATAAGACATACCAGATGCTATCTGAGCGGCCCACATTTTTAACTCATAATTAGGACTTATAAGCTCTGGATGTGCTATAATATATGTCAACATAGATCCCAAGGCAATGAGTTCTTGCACCATCAATAAAGGTGGTCCTTCACAAATACCGATGAGTTTAATAACACATTCGTGATTTAAACTCATCATAACTTGTGCTTCGCGTATAAATTCAGACTTATTAGCTGATGACATATCGTAACGTAACATTTTTATAGCAACTTTCTCTTCATGACCGTCTCGATTTTGGTAAACTCCCTTGTACACTGATCCAAATTCACCCTCTCCTATAACTTCATCTAAAATCAAATTATCTCTTAAAATATTGTCTTGGAAATCTGTCTGTTTGGATTTAGGCTTTTTTATCGTTTTACATGGAAATCCTTTTGGTAGAGGAGGTATTACATCTGGAATAACAGGGACTTCCAATTTGTTTGGTAATCCATCAGGAAAGAGCGTATAGTGTTGTATTAGATGTTCCAAAGAATCTAGATATGGTCCATTATCAATGAAATAATACTTGTCTCTGTCTTGTATTTTAAAATGATAACACTGATCACTACACATCATCGATAAAACATAGCCATTTTGTCTGTTCATTCTTACTAAAAAAATACCATCAATACCTTTATTTTTTAGTATTGTAGTAGCTTCATTGCGATCAAGCTTTCCATGATACCATTTATCTCTTCGTGAAGTCGGCATGAGTGGAATGTATTCCTTTAATAAGCGTTCAACTTCACTATGGCCATTATCATGAGCCAGATCTGAAGGTAAGAGATCATCATATGTACGGGGCTTTGATGGAGCATTCATAGATAACAATAAAGTCACAATCTCTATATGACCTCTACTAGCAGCTTCATGTAAAGCTACCCATCCAGTTGAGGAATTTCTTAACTGAATATTGGCCCCACCTACTGTTAATAAGGTTTTGACAGTATTCAATAAATTATTTTGGCAGGCAAAATGTAAAGGTGTATAGCCTTCAGTATCTCTGCAGTTTACATTTGCACCGCATGATATAAGCTTTTCAACAATTTGATCATGGCCCATTTGACTTGCCAGATGTAATGCAGTTTGACCTTCTTGATTCTTTGCCTCCAAGTTTCTATATCCACATTTCAACAACTCTGTAACAACTTTGCAATTAGCTTGACTAATTGCTCTGTGTAAAAGATTAGTACGTCCATGTCTTCTGGTGTCATGAGGCGGAGGGTCTTTGATAACAGGTTTTGTAAGTTGTACTCCTAAACTTGGATCATTAACTTTAGTGTAATATTCAATCAAAGTTTCTAATCCATGCATTATATTTTGTTCATCAATAGAAAAAAAAGCATCTTCACCATGACGTCTAATTTGATAATGAACTACTTCACAGTTTTGTAAAACACAAAGGACATAATCTCCGGATGCGGAATTACTTTCTCGGACCAAAAATAAACCGTCTTCATTAGTACCATGGTCAAATAAAATAACTTCAGCTGTATCCCTGGATATCTTTCCATGATACCAGCAGATATCTCCATCTTCAGTATAGTTGTTCATTGTTACTCTATCTACAAATAACAACAAAATATTAACACATTTTAAATTACTTCCAACAATCATACTTGATACAAATAATTTGACGTGTGTTTACCTACATAAAAAAATATTATTCAAACATAATTATTAACATTTTATTATAAACTGAATTTTACTTGATTTTTTAGTCATAACTGGACACAGGTACAAATTTTACATTTGTTTTTAATTGTGACCTAGTGATTTTCAAAAAAATGTATGATATGATTTTTATTTTAATGTATATTGGTTAACTGGGGTAATTGTGAAGCAATAGGTATTGTATTAGTTTTGGATTGAAGGTATTTTAAATTATCTCATTTGATTTTTAGACAAATTTAATTACTTATAATACTAAAAATTGTAATAAATCCATAATTTACACTAATTACCTTTGCATAATGCATAATAATGATAGAACCAGTTTTTAATTTTATATTAAAAAATAAATTACTTATACAAAAAAATATAGTGCTGAAATATTAATGTTTTGATTACTAGGAATATGACAGAGAAAATAGCCTTCAAATAAATAAAAGTAGACATTTACATTTAACAAAAAAAATGTATATGTATATTACCAACGTATTAAGAAAGTAAAATACTATAGTACTTACATTAATGCAGTTTTACGTATAACTTGTTTCATATTAGTGTTATTACAGTATGTAAAACGTAATTTCTAGAAACAATTTAGGTTCATAGGTATACATTTGAATAAATAAAAAGAACAGCGGCCATAAATGTATATTTTAAAAAGTATTTATCAAATATCAACAGACAACAATTAACAAACAATAAAAATAACACTTTAATTAAATTCAATCACGAACCATTGAAATGATTAAGCTTAATCTGCACTCTGCAGCTGTGCTCGTGATTCGAGAAGATTTTATCATTGTTAATGATAATAAAAGCTGATTGTATTCAATAACAGTGCATCCTCTTCAAAATGTTTAACTTTTTATGATAGCAAATGCCAGCCAATGCCGCCGTCTTATCACAATTCATATTGTCACTTGTCAGGCTGTCTCATATGATATGTTTGTTTTGATATTTTTATTTTGAGAAACAAATTTCATTCTACAAAATATTTCATTTTAACTATTTTATTGAATACACTTTTTTTTTGTATTATATAGGTAGTAAATTACACTCAACTTTTTTAATAATGTATTATTTTCACAATATTTAACTTAAATAAAAGTGCTTAGTGTCAGTAGCCATGTCAGTTAATTTAAATGTGTCTCCCAAAGTTTTCCAAGCACTATTTGATGTCAATATACAAGAACTATGCAAGCTGTCGGCTAAAGATATTCGACCCGTTCTCCCTTGCTTAGTCAGGATGAGTCTTATATCATCTGCAGATAATATGGCTAACTATATTGATGGCAAAAAAGATATCCTTACTCTGTTATCTGGCATAGAACTTGTTAATTCTATTGTTGCTCTTCTGTCAATCGATTTTCACACTTTAGAAATAGAAGTTAAAAAAGAGCAATTACTCAGGTATAATTATATTTGATTTTTAACTAGACATGGAAAATAAAAACTTAATAATTTATGCTGAAATTGTAGACAAAAATTTGGAAGCACACAAACCGACAGTGTTCTTATACATTCATTACAAAACCCTTTATCTCTAGAATTTGAAAGGAGTGACTCTACCCGGCGTTTAAGACTTGTTCTTAATGAAATACTTTATATTTCTTCTCAGGTACAAGTATGACAGTACAGAAAATAACAATAAACCACTTATAAATGTAAATATAAATTATTTAGATTCAAGAGCATCGTGAAAAACAACATAATACGCTAAACATGACTTCATTAAATTCAGAGTTTTATACAAAACAGTCTGATTTATTTGATCATCCAGTATATATTCCAGAAGTCTGTGATGTATTAAATATTGCTCTCTCCGAACTTCCAGCAATTCTTACTGTTCAAGATATAGCAGAAGTATTGCTACATGTTAAACATGGATCCACTTTTATTTGTTGGATCGTAGCCAATTTTCCAGACTGTTTTCATGATGGTATAGTTAATAAATTGAAAAACTGTTATTTTAGTTTCAATTATTTTTTAAATGTTATTAAATAACCATATATTTTTTCAGTTTGTACTAATCTGATACAAAATTCAGAAAAACATGAAGAAGAAAATGGTGGTAGTCGTATTCGTATGGAAGTTTTAATTCAATTATGTGCAATGTATCCACCCGGTGCTCATGTAGTTCGTGCAAAATGTGTAAGTATGACTTTAATGTCTGCCTATAATAAACAAAAATGACCACATATTAATTCATAGAATTATGTTTAATTAGGTTGAACTAAGTAAAATGCCAGCTTTAACTATTATGTTGACACTAGACAATAAAATTTCTGATATTTCATTTTTGGAAAGTTCTCAAAGCTCAAACAAAAACGATTTAGTAACATTTGTATCGGGTTTATTACTCGGTGATGACCAACCAGCAAGAAGCTGGTTTTCTCAATTTCTACGGCATAAAGTATTTATTATATCATAAAGTTATTTTTATGTATTTGTCATAAGATATTTAATTTTTATTAATATTATATGACTAATAATTTTCATATATTGACAGAGAATAAAAGATTGTTCTGCAAATACCGTTATTCAAACCATGCGAGATGAACTACTTTTACAATTACAAATCTTATTGAGAAATGTTAAAGAAGACAAGTTACCAAATGTATATGTTGGTCAGGCTAGTGTTTTGCTTCGTCTGTACTGTGCTTTAAAAGGAATTGCTGGTATTAAGTATGTTAAAATGTTGAAAAAATTTTAAATAACAAATGACTGGTTCATTCATAAAACATGTATATCTATTGAAATGTATCACAGATTTCAAGATGATGAAATTACTTCCCTTGTGAACTTAGCCACTTGCTATCCACCTTCTACCCCTGAAGGCGTAAGGTTTGTTACAATTGCTCTGTGTACAATGATTTGTTGTAATACTCTGTTGGCAAATACTGAAAATGAAGCGAAATGTGTGCAATGGTTAAAACGGTTGGCTGGTAGTGAATCACCATTTTTCAGAAAGTAATGGTTTTAACAGTTAACTTAAGGATCCCGATGCTGCTGTGTTTTTTGGCTCAAAATTAGGCATTACAGCAAAAGTGAAAACGTCTCGTACAGTTATCAAATTATGCTAATTCTTTTTTTTGTTCTAAAGAGTAGAAAGACTTAATACAGGTGGTGGGTGTAGCACTTAGATTTTTAAATAACAGTTGAACAAAAAAAATTGATAAAACCTATTAACAAAATGTTATGCAAATTAAAAAACTGTATGAATTTTCAATTTTCAGCACTGGGATCCTTAATAAATATTAATAAAAAGAATATAATATTGTACTAAAACTTTCTTTTTTAATATTATTTACAAATTCTTAGACCAACTGACACAACTGCTAGTTTTGGGGAAATGCTATTGCTGATGGCTATACATTTTCATAGTAACCAATTAACATGGATATGTGATCATATGTGTATTACATTGGGCATGAGAATCAACATACGACAAAGCACAATGGGCAAAATGAAGCAAATATTTACCCAAGATGTATTTCCAGAACAAGTATGTATTAATATCTGTTTTTTTTTCTTTAGATATGTTTTAATCATTGTTTTTTATTTTCAGGTGGTCGCATCAAGAAGTGTAAATATACCGGTTACTCCAAATTTAAATGCTAATATGACGGGATTTTTACCAATTCATTGTGTCTTGCAATTACTGAAGAGTCAAACATTTGCAAAACACCGCGTTAATATTAAAACGTGGATTTACAAGTATGTCTTATCAAGCGTGATAGCATTTTTGTTTAAAAATAATCATTCAAAAAGAAATTATACTAATTAATGTTAATGTAAATGTTGTAGTCAGATCTGTGCAAGTGTTCCCCCGTTACATCCTTTGTTGCCATCACTGATCGAAGCATATGTTACGTCTATCCTCATATTGCCGAATAAATCAACTCAAGAATTAGCTGTAAATCAGCCATTAACAGAAGGAGAAATTGCAAACGTTTTTGGAGATAAAGTATTCGAGCAAACCGAAAATGAGTCTTTTACTGCACATCTATTAGTATTGTACTATATACTATTGTATGAGGAAACCAGCATATCAATGGCTGCTCAACCAAACAGATCACAGTTAACAGGCCTCTATCGTTATAAGACTGAGTTTTTAGCCAATATTCCAATCAGATATATTGTGCAACAAGCAGAAAAAGAACTTCCTTATTCGAGTTTGTTTTCTACGTTGTTGAGACTTTTAGCCACACACTGTCCCCATTTATCTCTAGTAGAAGACTGGATGGAGGATACATCATCAGATATTCAATTTGTGTTACAACTTAAAGCTAAAAACATTACAGAAGAAATGATTGAAAACGGTTTGTCTGAGTTTAAAAAAAATTTTTTTTTAATATCTATTTTTGTATTTTTAATTTTTAGGTTTAAATATGATGGTCGAGCGTCCTGATAGGGCAGGTGTAGTTTTGAAAAGACTATGTGCTACTCTACCAATTAAAATTTGGCCATTTGCAGCTACTATTTTAAAATTTTTGCCTTATACATTAGATTCAAATGTGTCTAGATATATTCAAGGTAAAAACCATATACTATATTATGTAATATGTATTGGTATATATAACGACATTTTCTTTTTTTTTATTATTTAGAACTATACAAAACAGTTTGGTTAAGACTAAACACAGTTTTACCTCGTAGCCTTTGGGCTCTTACAATCAAAGCTTTACAACATAACAATAGTGTAAGTGCTTTGAAAGAAGAAAATTTAATGCAAGATCCCTTACAAGTCTTACAATGTGATTCCAGAGTATATAGGTAAATAAAAGACATTGAATAAAACACTGAACTTTATTTAATTATAATTACTCACCTTTTTTGTTGTTGAATGTTTACCTTAAGGTGTCCAACTGTTCTCAGTATTGTTATCCATGTATTACAATCATCTTTAGCAGCATCCAGAAGCCATTTGTCTCGTTTGGTAAATCAAAAATTATTTGCAGCTGGTGTTTTAGCTCAAGCTAGTACTCGAGAAGAATATAAAAATGTTTTGACTGCGGCTCAAGATAGCGCTGCCGTCCAATTATTGTTAGAAGCTTGCTTAGAAACTGAAGACGATGGGGTTAGTTTATTTGAAGTGTTTAAATTTTAACATAATGTATTATTCCTTAATACAATACTTAATTTAAGTAACTGTGTTTTTTGTAGAAATCATTTTCAAGTATGATGACCCTACGAGAAGTGCGAAGTGTAGTATGCTCATTTTTACATCAAATGTTTATATCTGATCCACCATTAGCAAAATTAGTACATTTTCAGGTATTTTTCATTTGTAATAATTTTATCATTGAGTAGCTTAACGGGTCTTAAAGGCTCACGAACCATTTTTATTTTGCTATATAGGGTTATCCAAGAGAACTACTGCCAGTAACCTGCGTAGGAATACCATCGATGCACATTTGTTTGGATTTTATTGCAGAGCTTTTAAGTCAACCAGATTTTCAAAAGCAAATTTTTGCAATCGATCTTATTTCGAATATTGCACAACAGTACCCTTTGCCAAAATCGTTGAGTTTAGCACGTTTAGCTGTTAGTACAATGTATACTTTTCTATCAGGTAACTACTTCAATCAATTCTTTGTCTTGTATATCTACTGACCGTCGAATACTAAACAAAAATTACAATTGTTTTAGTGTTAACACAGGAGGATCGTCGAGAACTTTATATGCCTACTCTTCCTGCTCTGGTTAGGATATGCCAAATATTTCCTACCCTTAGTGAAGACTGCATTATGTTTCTGAATCAGTTGGGTCGCATGTGTGTGTCAGTTACATCAGTTCGCTCAGATATATTTTTACTGCCTTCTGCAGCTCAAGAGAATGAAGAAACTGAAGAGCAAAAGTTGAGAATGAGACGAGTTCCCAAACCAGATATTTTTGATGAACGATCAGATGTAGCTGTAGCGAATAAATTATTTGCTCAACAAGTTGAAAAAACAGTTCAAGAAATATTACAAAATTGTTTAAAAATCAATGCAAATATTTAATCAGTTCAATTCTTTGGTAGTTTCGCAACCCTTAACAAATTGTACAATTTATTCATGGGGTATAACTATTTAATTATAATGATTATAACTTTATATATATATGTATATACTTGGATAATATATTGTATTAGTGTCAATATCAATTTTTTTAATTTTTTTGCCGACTTTTTTATATTATATTTTGAAAACATACTACTAAAATTAATTATTGTATGACATTTAACAATTTATACATGCGTTATGTATCAAATTAAAAACCATAATTTAAATATGTGTATAATAATATTACTAGGTAAGTTGGCAGTCTTAATTTAATTATGTGAGTTATGTATACATAAATATCATTTTCAAGTACTTTTAACAAATTTGTTTGTGGTCATTGATCAAACTTTTTTTGACTGACTGTTGTTCTTAGAAAAATTCTGTGTAAAACATCTTGTAAATTTTCAACCAACAGGATTAGTAGATAACTCTCAAAAAATAAATTATATATTGTCTTAATAGTTATAAAAAATATACACTGTCAATTAATTCACATGTAGAATCGTTAAGAAATGTATTAAGTTTCACTATTATCTTGACTATCACTCTCGCTAGAAGAATTGCTTTCAGTTTTGTTATTAGTTTCAACTTTTGGTTTCTTCCCCTTTAGTTTTAACATTTGTTTTCGTTTTAGTCTTTTAGCTCTTTTTTTTGCTGTCCGCCCTTCAGCCATTTGTTTATTTTCTAGTATTTTCTGTTTGTATGCTTCTTCTAAGAGTTCCTAAATGAGTAATAACATCAAGTCAAACTAAATGTCAAACATTTTAATAAGCAATTAACCATGATAATGCTATTTCATAAAAATAACCTTTTCTGCTTTTAACTGTATATGTTTTTGCCTTGCATATTCTTTACGTCTTAAATGCCTATAAACATGGAACTCGCCACTTCCAGCTCCTGCACTTGATCCCATAACATTTCTAACAAATTCAGGTACATGAGGTGTTTTCTTGTCAGATCGAGGTTCTGGAATATAAACTGGTTTATCCTGTAATAGAGAATATTTATACATACATTATGCCAATATTAGGTTTAAATTGACTTTACCACCCCAGCTCCGAAAATTCAATATTTTTTTCAATCAATTTTATTTTCAATGCTGAAAATGATAGTGCAAAAAAAATTTGCGGAAATGCTTAGTTTTGAAGTTACAGCTACTAGAACATGTTCGCGCTATCACCGCCATCATGCAGCAGTCGACGACATGAATCGCAATTGAAGAACACAGTAGTTTGTGAGATTTCTTTGAAATTTTTTATTTCTCATATAATAGTGTTTTTTAAAAAATTTTTTGGCATCACCATTTTCAGCATTGAATAAAAAAAATTGAAATTCAGGTCTGTGGTGGTAAAGTTAAATTGTTTTCAATACTATAAATATTTATTTTATAACTTTTTTTTAAATATTAACAAATACTTTAAAGTGTATAGTATAATACAATTATTTATACTCTACCTAATTGATTTAAATCAAATTTGGATAAAAAAAAAAGTAAGATCAAATATTATTAAAATACTCTTACTGGATTTTTCATAAGTCTTTCGAGTTTTAAACGTTGCAAATCTGTAGCATTTTTTACAATATTTTTTATTCCAGTTTTGGAACCTTCATCTTCTTTAAATGGTTTAGCATCTGTCATTTTTAAGTTCTGTGTTTATCACCTATTTTTAGTAGAGTAAATTTGCTAATAAGTAATATTAGAGTAGCATAAATAACTTGATTTAACATATACTTAAAATAATAATCACTTTTTATTTATACAAATAAAATAAAATGAGTTAAAAAGTTAAAATATTATTATTTATTGTTATTACTTGTTATTATCAAATACTGTGTTTGATAATTGATAATATTTTTAGGACCGCATAATAGGCGGCCGTTTCCAGTCCGTACTTTTTATTACCTTAGTTCATGAAGTTCGTGACGAGACGACATAATATTCTGGCGCGGCTATCAAACACAGACAGGGCCATGGAAGAGACGAATAGCCGACTGGCGCCATTTGGTAGTTTGAAGTATTAAACGAAACTATCACCACCGGCCGCATGAATGTACAACATTAATTGACGATGTATCGGAAAATGCAATATGAATAAAATACAATATACATACATCTTTTTGGAATTTATTCGCCGAATCTGAATCTGAACTCAGATTAAACGTTTGAACAACGTTAAAATAAAAATGTTGTTAACTTTATATTGGTAAATATCATCTGCTAGCGGTGCTTAATTAGACATACTTCCCAATGTTGGATTTTAATTTTTAATATATGTATGCATTTTTTGACAAATTTTCTAGGTTTTTTAGGAAGGCGATTTTTAATTTTCTCTTTTGAAGATCTCCAAAATTATTTTTTATTATTTTTGAAAATTCAATGATAATTTATTCCCGAATTACATTTGAATTTATTATAAGCATACAATTTTAAATCAAAAATAGGCTTCCTAAGAAACCCTGACAATTTGTCAACAAATCCACACATACTTTAAAAATCCAACATTGAGAAGTATGTCTAATTAAGCACCGCTAAAACGCATGAAAACTAGTTGTGATCCGACCCCCTTAAGGGGTAGATTTACTAAATTCTCACAATGTATAGGGAATCACTTTATCAATGAGGTGGCGTTTTTATTTCTTTGATATTTATACTTAATATTTTTTTATAAAAAAACACGCTGCGGTCCCCTTAATGTTATTTTAACTTTTAGTTACTTCTTGCTGAACAATTTTAAACTTGTTTTTACTCAGATGAATACATGCAAAAAAATCTTGGTCATCCCATATGGTTAGGTTGGTTATGTGGTCAATTTTTGTCTACAATAAACAAGGTCTTCGAATTTCGTTGAAATATTGGTTTATAATATAACCTAAAAAATAAACTTCGGCGTCACTATTATTGTTGCTACTACTGCTACTAATCTAATTATTTCAGTCATCTAGAATTACATATGCATACAATTTAAATCAAATGTGTAGGTAATACAATATTTATAATTTAAGCATCCGTTTTGATTTGAATTGGTATTTACATTGAAATAACTACCTACAATGTAACTGTTAATTCTATGTTTTGTTACATGCAATCATAAAGTATACCTCATCACTATAATTCGATAAAAAGGTTTAAGTGTGTAAAAGCAAATAACTAATAATAATATAGGAATATTATATTATAAAACAATAGGTAGTAGATATTTCAGTAAAATGAAATATTACTTGATAATATTGATGCTAATCTCAATTCTCAGTTTAAAGTTTTTAACTAACTATAATATGCTAACTAACTGTGATTAAGTTTCATCTAAAATTTAACCGAAAGAGTCAAATAGATAAATTCAATTTTTTAGTTTAACAAAGATTAACATTAAATAAAGTTTAAATTATTTTAAAAAGCAGTTGATAAAATGACCTTAAGTATACTATATTTGTAACGATAAAGTAACAGAGTGAATAAGTATTACAAATTTACAGTTTATCAATTTATTATTAATAGTTTTATATAAATTAGTTGTTGGGTCATGTCAGTGTAAATGGAATTTAAGGTCCATATAATGTTTATCAATGTAAATGTCCTATAAAATAGCGAAATCATAACATTAAGATTTTTTGATAAGTCATGTCGAGGTAAATGTAATTCGAAGCAATAATTAAAAATGGAACTTCGATGTAACTGTAAATCGTGGCATAAAAAATAATAGCAAAAACATATTTTCGTTGTAAATGTTTTCGTGTCAATTGTCGTCGAAGCAATTGTCATTCGTAACAAAAATGTCGGGAGTAACATAACATCGTAGCACGCAACATTCGTGGTAACCAAGGTGGATTTATAAATATCCATAGATCCATAATCCAATATCCATAGATAAATCCACCTTGGTGGTAACTGTGTTATCCCGATAAAATCGCTTATCATTTTTCGGCCAACTGCCCTGTGCACCCTGGTCGGTGGTATTCAGTTCAGTAGTTCTTGTGTGATAAGAGTCTTTGCCCGTTACCGTGTTAATTTTTATCAGTGTCCGTCGGGGTCTGTTGTTTATTTTGTAATAATATACAATTATAAAATATAAACATTTTACAAATGTTTAGTGTATAATTATTATTAAATTTAAATTTAATAAGCTTATTTAAAAACAGTGGTCTATACTAACTATTGAGTATTGCTTTATACGATTTAACAAACAACTACTAGATCAACAGCCAAATTTCATACAATTTGTCAGTAAGTCCAACATTTTGTCTAATTAGGATTTTAATTATTGTAGAGATTGCTCATTTTTTTTTGTAAAATCACAAATTTTTATTTCTATTGAAAATAGTGGTGACATTAATTAAACAGGAAATTATGTATTCTAATGTAATTTCAAGTATTATAATTTTATGAATTTCAATATTACAATTTTTTTGTTAAAAATATAAACATTGAGTTACATTGTGCATTAGTAAATATTATTACTTATTATTACACTTAGTTTTTAGAATTGCTAAGTAATGACTAAAATATTTCACACAAATTCATGAGCCTTTTTTATAATTTGTTTATATTATTAGTTTATTTACTTAAATATTTTGTTTTTTAATTTTAAAATATAATAGAAAAAGGTTTTCTTAAGAAAATTTGTTTATGAAGACTGTGAATCATTATTGTAACACAAACATCAAATCTCTTATCTAATTATTTTTGTATGGCTCTCTTGACTCTTGATAGTCTTTAAAAAGCTTTTATGCCTAAGTTTGGTCGTCTCAAAGGAATATGATTGTTTCTCTCTCTATACAGTCAGTCTAACACTTGCTGCTAAACACACGCAACCTTATCCATTGATCTAACTGTCCTCATTCTTATTTATAGACATAACAATATAATAATTGCATCGGTTGTTATTGTTTGTTTGCTACTTATTAATATACAAATCAAATACCTATCCAGTGATATTTTTCTACTTTATGTAGTATAAATTATAATTGTATACAAATTATTTTTATAGAAATGGTAAAGAAACGTAAAAGTGTGTTAAAATCATCTGCTCAAGTAATTGATTCACCCATGAAGGAACCGCGAATAATAAGTATTTATTAATGCATTAATATAATTTGTAAATTTATTCATGTATTCTACTTTTTAGGAGGTAATCAGTTAGAAAAAGCACGCAACAGTTTAAATGATGCTCTTGACACTATTGCTAAGAAAGAGCAAAAAAAAACTGAAATTACATCAGAGAGTGATGTTGCAATTTTGTAAGTATTCTCACTTTCCGTTGAAAATTTAATAAATAAAATTAGTTTACTGAACTTTTTCCAAAAATTCTGGCAAGATGAGTAATTACAGAAAGAAGGAAATGATCAAAAATCAAATTTACTATAAAGAAATACATTTAATGTTGCAATATTGGATTTTAAGAAGAGATATTTTCAGGGTGGCACGTATTAAACATAAATGAATAATTGGTGTATTATACGTATAATACATTATGTAATATGCATCTGTATTTTATACTTTATATGTTTTAAATTGTTCGATGTATAAAACTTATATAGACGATTTTGACCAACCCTGATATTTCAATACCTTATCATATCTACTAACAATATAAAGCTGTTTTACATCAATACAACATGGTCAAGAATTTGGCTGTGTGTAGGTCATTACTGACACAAAAACAAAGATTTGGTACTCTGTCAAACATACCTTTACTCTATACTACTTATTTATTTCCTTCTTGGTATGACTCAAAATTATTTATTACTACTTCTTTGTATCTTTGATTACTCCACTTACTTCTATTTACAATTATACAAAATTTAAATAGACAAATTTTAAAGCTACAAATTGAAGAAAAAAATCATCAAAATGGACCTGGGCATTTTATTGTGATTGGATGACACGCTGTCATATAGGAAATTGTATAATAGTTAAGAAGTTTTAGAATAGAATAGATTAGAAGTTTTGTATGATATAGTAATATAATTTCCTCCATCAATAGTATTTTATATAATTAAATATTTACTTCATTATTTGATAATAATGTATGTTTTATTAATATTGTTAATAATGATTAAAATTCACAAATATAGAGATGAAAATGAAACAAATAAGAAATTGAAAAAAAATGAATCAAAACAAGAAGTTAAAGATTCGTTAGTATTGAAATTACGAGATCGTAGTATTGACTTGGCTTCATTTACTGAAGATACATCCATGTACACTATTTGCAGAGCATGGATAAAAAATGATCCATTATCGGCAAGGTGAGACATTGAGTGTAAAATAAATTATATAGACTAAATCATCATAGAAATAATGGTACATATTATTATTTTTTTTTTTAGACAATCCAAAAACAAGAAAATTGATAATTTAGAACATTCTTTGAAAAGTGAAAATGAATCATCTGTTTCTGAAGACTTTGTATACAAATTACCTACACCAAAAAGTAAATCAGAAATTGGAATTAATGTTGATTGTAAAGTACCACACAACTTACCAAAAGATACTTCATCATCATTAGATTTGAAAGACGTAATTATATTTTGATTAAACGAATACAACTTCTAACTTAATTACTTTTACTTTTCTGATTATATAATATATTATTGTAAAATATGCTCATTACTCATGTTCAAAAATATGTTATAAACTTTTGTATTATAGAAACTAAGTGAAGTCCCAACTATAAATGAACTTCTTAATGAACACCACAAAAGATGGGTTTGTGTTCGCCAAAAGTGGATTACATTCAGCAACCATAATGAATCCCGCTATGTTTTGTCAAAAAATGCATTGAGTGGTATGTTAAATAAGTAAGTCTTATCTTATAAATTATAATATATATGATTCAATTTAAGAAATTTACATTACCGGCACAATAAATATACCAACAAACTTTTTTTTGTGTGCTTTAATTGAATTTTATGTATATTAAACTATATTGTAGTACAAATTATGAATTAAGCTTAAATTAGTTATAAAAACACCATACTCATTTTTGTTACAGGGATAACAATGTCTAATTCATTTTATTTATAAAATTCTACAAGTGTCAATAAATGTTTGACAAACTGTGTACAAAGTTAAGTGTGTATTAATTCAGCTTATAAATTATTTAATAAAATCAATAAGGTTCTTTTTCAATTTGTTTTTTTCTTTTTTATTGTAACTTGTAACTGAATTTTGTGTTTAAAATTGAAATTAATAATAAATTATAATTAAGTACAAATTGTTCATCTTTATTTAAAAAAAGTTAATATCATAATGAAAGACAAAAAATGGTTTGTTTTAGAATAAAATAAAACTGTATTGAAGATTTAGACTTCCCACTCAGCAGTGCATGTTAAATAAGATCAAATAGTTAAGCTTATTAACATTTCTGAAAAAAAATAATACGGAACATAACCATTATAGGATAACTAACAATTTATTGAGATATAATTCAATGTGTGTTCAATAACCACTGCTCACTATGACACTATTGTATTGGTCAGTTAGTATAAGTACCAAGAACAAATAAGGAACAACCACAATTTTATAGATTGAAGTAGAGCTAACCTGAGAAAACTATAATGTCAAGCTCCTAGAATTGTTTTTATATTAAATGTTTTAACTCAATTTCTAAGATTTTCAAAACTAGCTCTTTTCCAAGTAAAAAAAAAAGAAATACCTGTAAAAATGCATAAACAAATTGAATAATAAATAACAACATGCAGATCTAGCCATTATTTTAATAACTTTAAAAAAACTAAAATTCACATCATTAATATAAATAAAAATATATTAAAATAAAAATTCAAAATATATTCAAATACATCTATATTTAAACATGTTTAATAAATCAACATTTATTTTTAAATATTTCAAATTTAACTTAAATCACTTTTGATTGAAAGATAAATAAAATAATAATTTGAATACAAAAGTAATCTGAAAATCCCTTAATTTTTTTTTTAAATAGGTCATTAATATTTTGGGCAAGGGAGATGACAGAAGCAACTGTCAAAGAGATGCAAAAAGTGATCCCTGGGTATCAAACGATCTTAATGGTTGTATATATTTATAAGAAATTCTGTTTTTGAAGAAAAAAATGTTTTTTTAAATAAACAGGTGGTATTTTCCAAACAATTTTAGTATTTAAATGAAATATTACTTGAAAGTATAAATAAAAAATTATTTGTTGCATTAAATAAAAATCGATTTTAAATAACTCATTGTTAAATGCCCAATTTAGCATTATGCAAAAAAAAAAATTGATTTAATAGTTTAAATAATAATTGGAATACATGAATATATGTTAATATACATATATATATATATATATATATTTATTTATTTTTTTTAACTTGCATGTATTAATGATTAAATAACAATAATATAAAAATATATAATAATAGAGTAAAATTATTTATAGTAAAAATTATTAGTAATAGTTTAACTTGACGATAAACCCTGTTAAGTAAGTTGAAGAGTCTACAACTAAACACTATTTCATTAATGAAATATTTTTTTACCGTTATTACTATTTATATGATGATGATGATAGCACATTTCAAATTATCACATAATGAAGTCCATTTAAAAATTTACTTCTCTCTTAGTCGTTTCAATGATGCAGATATATCAACTTTTGAACCAATAAACTCGACTAATCCTTGAACTGTCAAAGCAGTAGCCACAAACTGTTCGGCTTTTATTGACCATTCAGTATTGGTTTGTTTATCAGACTGTAATAAAAAATTAATAATATAATTTTACTAGTTATTAATTCTAAAAACAATTGCAATATTTTACAATTGCATACCTCACTTAATTCTTCTTTATTGAACTCCCCTAGTTCAAGCAATATAGCTCCTAAAAATATTAAACCATTATCATTATTATTATTTTTTTTTTTACTAAAGATATTGACACCCGCGATATAAAGGAGTATGCTTCATTTGCTATACTATTTTTATAACAAGTATCTATGTATGTGTATTGTTAAAGACTATAATAGTATTCCATAACATACCAACTCTAGAAATGTTGTTATGCATTTCCTGGTCTTGGGGAGAATTTCCAATGAGATCATACAAAGTTTTGCACAGTGAAACAAAATGGTCCTCGGACATAGATGGTAAAGAAATTGGAGGACTTTTAGATGATGGAATCCTCCGTACAAAAGATCTTAAGAGCTCTAAATCATCAGAATTATTTTCTAGAAAATATAATTATGAAGTCTTTAGTAAGTAAAAAATAATTGAATAAAATATTCTTATTTTCTAATTGAAACACAATTACACAAACCTTTACTTGAGCTGCTGCCCACATTTTGATCAAAATATTCAGCTGCTTCAGATGCTAATTCAGCCCCGTTTACTGAATTATCTATTTGATGTCATACAATCCTCTTGTAAATAAATATCAGTTAAAAAAAGTGAATTATTCTTACTTAGATCTGATGAAATTGAATGCTCATTTGTACAAAGGGCAGGCAAGTGAAGCAAATATAGAATTTTTAACCGAATAGACACATCTGCAGTAGATGTTGAACCTAATGCCATTACCAACTCACGAAAGTTTAAAAAACCATCATCGTTCATGTCCATCAACTGAAAAAAATTAGTAATTAAGTTTTACAATAAGAAATCAAGCTTAAAATACATCATAAATTTATAATTTTTAGAATACATACCTTAAATAATGGAACTGCTAGGCTGTCAGCACCTTTATGTTTTGCTAAAGGAGATATTGCTAAAAATAATGATTCAAACAAATCAAAGTCAATTTTGTAAGCTTCATAGGGCTCCATAGGCGTTTCAGCTTTAGGAGGTTCAAAATTGGTTCTTTTCCGTACAGCGACCACTTCTTCTCTCACAAACTTTAGTAGGTCCTAAAAACAAATATAAATCATACAAATTTAAAAAATGACAATTTAATGAAAAAAGTGTTTGTTGAAAAAAAATTCAAAACTAAAATTACCATCAGCTCGTCGGATGAGAAATAACCATCTGGTTTCAAAGATCTTACAATATTTTTTTCATTACCGTCTTCTAAAGATTGAACTACTTTAAGTCTGTGCATAATACGAAGATTTTCAATAATTGTACTCGTAACAGATCCAAACTTTTTATGGCCATTTTTTATTAACTCTTGAACCGAGACACTCTATTATAAAAAATATATTAATTAGCAAATGTTTTATAATTTTAACTACAATAATGCAAATAATATCTTTAATTCAAAAATATATCATGTACTTTGTTATATCTTTAAGTAACAACCATTTAAAATATCTACCAATAAATACTACAGTAAAACACATTTGCACAACATTTTCAGTAAAACTAGTGTTTGTATAAATGAGAATTATTATTTAATACATTTAATTACCCTGTCTACTTTTTCCCCATCTTTATACATACTGCAATGCTCCAATTCTTCATTGTAGATACCTGTTAAGTAATTGCAAAGGGTTTGCATTGCTTCGCCATCATCACGACAACAGGCCAGTCTATTTTGATTCATTTCTAAAATAGACAAAGCCACCTAAAACAATAGTATTACAAGTTTAGTATAAAAAATGAGTTGTTACTTCTTTTTTATAGCTGAAATGAATAAAAAAAACTACCTGAAATATGACTTTTGCTCCATCAAAAAAAAACCAGTCTACAATATATATAGCACTTTGATATGGTATAACACTAGAATATATAAAATCTGTGTTATAATCATAAACAAATATTAAATTATTATTACAATTTCAAGTGGAATCTTCAAATATGTATTTATCGCTGAAAAAATGTATTTTAATTGTATTTTACCTAAGAAATATTGTCAGGAACCAAGATAACGATATCATTTGTATCAGACCAAGTCTATATAAAATATCGTGAATAAGTGGTAAGTGTTGTGCTATCAAATTATCCATGACTCCCTGGTCAACCAGTGCTCCAACCACCTTATTGTTATAGTAATCGGGTAACATATTTTCACAGATACATGCCAATTGCCAAAAAGCTTCTTCCTCTGTACAGTATATTAACAAAACAGAAGCCACTATGTTCATAGCTTGACAATATCCTAAAAATGTAATAAAAAAAAAATAAAAATTTAAACCTCATTAAACATTAAAAGTTAAATTAACACTTTTGGTACCGATTTGTGGGTTTTTTGTAGCATAAGCTGTTAACACTCTGCGTAATGTGTCGATACCGATTTCTGATTGAAAAGCCGGATGCTCTGGTAATGATCTATGTAAGTCTCTTTCAATTTCGTCATGTGATATGGATTTTGTTTTGGATGCAATATTGACTAATTCTGTGTAAAGTCCAGGGTTAGCCACCATATCATGGTGCGCACCTGTACAAAACAAACAAATTATTTACAATACCATATTAGTTTTTTTATACAAATTAAGATATATTACTTAGCATAACAAAATACTAATGAAAACAAATAATAACAGTCAATATTAAATTATAATACGGTATACCTGAAAATGTTAACCAAAGGTTTGACCTCATAGAATCTGGTATACCCTTTAATACCATCTTGATCAAATCTTTTGTCTTGTACATTGAAACGCCTGATCCGTGTTCCTTAAAATATTCATTCCAAGCAACTTCTTTTATTTTTTGATGAACTTTAATAATTTTATCTTCACTTTCTTTCATTGGAAACGTAAGCATTAATGGTTTCATCATTGTCCAATCAGACTTTGAATCAACAGCATTATTTTTAGAGCTTGAAATCCTTAAACAAATTATTTCATTAAATATTTATATACTTTTAATAAGAGATCAAAATGTAATTCCTAAAAAAACGTGTTCTAGAAAAATTAGTTAAATTATTAGTAATTCAATATACCAAAAAATCATAAAAACCTAAGAAAATTGTTTTTTGTAGCAAATATAAAAAGTATTATGAGAGGAAATGAAGGAATGGAGAGAAAATCATTCTCTATGAAGGGCAGAACACTGGAGAGAATATGTAAGGCGTCACATGAGAAAGGATCGGTATAAAAAAATTTAATATTACTTAATGTTTGTTATTATATTTGTAACAACAAATTTTTAAATCACTTAAAAAAATGTATAACGCTTACAAATAATGTCAGCTTTATTTTTTTTATATATATTAAAAGGTTGATTGATACATTGTTTACTAATTTTATTTAAGATTATTGATACAGTTGAGTATAAAAACTTACGATTCTAAATTGCCAAGAAGTTCAGATATCTTCTTCAAAAAAAATGATCTTTCCAGAATATGTGAAAATATAAAGACTGGAGGTTTATCATTAGTGGATGACGTTTTCAGAGTTATAATAACCGCATTATTAAAAGCTGGATCATTGGTATTGTCTAATTTTTCAACTTGAGAAATATTACACAATGGAATGACAACATTTAGTGGGTCTTTTGACTGAAACGAAAGTATTAAATTAATTGGAATTAATTACTTTATCTTAATGAATTAAACAAATAACCTACTTTACTGTTAAAACACATAAAGTTTTGTGACAAATACACTTGACCCCAAACGTGTTTTTTATTATATGGAGTAAATAATGTAGTATTACTGACACCATCTAATTTTTCACTTTGAGGCAATTTAAACAGAAGGCGATACAGTTCAGACATAGCTCGAGCATCTAAATCACGCTTGACAAATGACTGTTTTTTTGGAACATGTTTACTAAATAAAAATATGTATTATGTAACATAGTTTTCCAAATACAAGAACTATTAAGAGACATCAAAACTTTAGTAGCTATTAAATTATAATAATTTTGATTATTGAAGATCAAACAATTTTATTTTATATTATACTTACACAACATATTATAATTTTTAAGATTGTCTGTCTCTTTTAACAATAAATATACAAAAAAAATTTGATGGTTAAAATGTTATTCGCAGTAAGCGGCATGTGCTTAAAAGGAATTGAAACATTAATTTATTCATAGTCGAAATTATTTTATTATGTGTTATGGATGCTGTAAGTTTTTACAGTACACCCAGTGATATAAATGAAAATTATTTTGTGTTTTTTTGGAAATAGGAAAAAGGTTGCAAACAACAAATAGCATTTCAACCGATTGTATGCTTACCTAAGTTTTTGTAGAAGATTATGATCTTTATCAAACCAAACATCATTAATTATTCTAAAACAAATAAACATAAGTTTAACTATAATACAATATTTAATATCAACATGAATTAATAGAATAAGCATTCCTCTATTAAATTTATAAGTTTTAAATTGATGTAAATTTAACTAGTATATAATGGCACTGTATGAGTTGTGGTGGTGGTATAACGGTGGAGGCAGCATCGATTGATAGCTGTATACATGCCATTTCCTCTGACCTAACCTAAACCAGTTTGCTAGGACCCATGATGAGGCAGAAGTCTGGTTCCAACAAGACGGAGCCAAAACTCACACTTTTAACTTTCGGGAAAGGCCATAGCTCGTAGTGTCATTTCCGGTGTAATGACAGCCACTGCCTGGGTGATTGCGTTTTTAAGTCCCCAAAGAAAAAAATCACAAGGGGATAAATCGGGTGACCTTGGCGGTCAGGTGATGTCTCCTCGCAAAAAGAAAAGACGTCCAGGAAACAACTCTCTCAAGATAGCTAGGGAGTGCTGCGAAGTGTGACCTGTGGCACCGTCTTGTTGGAACTTCTCCCTCATTGTGGTTCCTAGAAAACTGGTTTAGGTTAGGTCAGAGGAAATGGCATGTGTACCGCTATCGATCGATACCCCTTCCATTGTTGTACCACCACCACAACTCACACAGTGTCATTTCTAAATAGGGGAGGTTTTTTTTGCCGGACCCTGTATATACTAATTATAAAATTATGAAAAAAAATGATAATAAAAAATTCTAATTGTTGATTTGTAGATGAGGACACTAAAAAGAAAGGTCAATTGTACTTTTTTTATTTTTATATTATGTGTGCATTTCTAAAAAATAAAATACAAGTACAATAAATATATAAAAATGTAATACCATATTTAAAGACAAAATTTACAATTTAAAAATTAGGTGTAATAAAAAAAATGTTTGTCTTAAACTCAAAAACTATTTACGACTCTCAATTTTATTTGTATTATTATTTTTATACTCCGTTTACCGAGAGAATGTATCTGGCGGCCGACCAAATTTTGTCTATTCTTACGCATCCTCCCCAAAAAAACATGCTGGGGCGCCTCCTACCGAAACATATTGCATGCTGTTGGCGCACCATCGGAGTGCTTTGTTTTTGTGACATGTATGTAGGCACACACAGGCAGCCGTATGGTGGGGGAAATTTAGCCTGAGACAATACCATTATGTCATTTAGATACGTCAAGCAGGACATATTCACTGGTTGAACGGAGTATAATATCAAAATTGAATTATGATTAAGAAGACAAAAAGGTATAATAAAATACACCTTTCTTAAAATAGTAAAAATTTATAAATCATTAACAATATATTAAAAATAAATATAAAAAAAGGGATTACCCTTTCATTGCTAGATTAACAAGTTGCTTCATCAATTTATATACCTCTGAATTATGCAGGAACATCGAAAAACAATACTAAAAATGAAAATAAGTATGTAAAATAATAATTTTCATTCGATTGCAATATCAATTATTTCCCCAATGATAAATATGTACAATATCCATCAGTCTTTAAGTTTAACCCTGTAATTTAGATAATCAAAACAGAAGCGAGTCCAAAACGCTTTAACAGAGCGAACCACTATTTTTTTTCTCAAAAATAAAAATGAAGTAGGTACATACTTGTGTCTGACTAATAAAGTAAACCATTACTATATTCTATTTATAGATAAACCCGTTTTAGTATGACATTAATTAAAATATTATTTGGTTTTAATCATAATCTTGAATAAAAAATAGGATGATTTGTTAAAATGGATGGAACAATAGTTATTGTCTTAAATGCCATCTCCATACCGATCTTCAATGATAAATAAACAAATAAAAATGCTTTAAAAAATTATAGTAAATACTATCTTTTTAATATTTATTCTATATTTCAAAGTATCATAAGATCCTATAGGGGTAGTAATCTTTTTTTATACTTGAGGGACGATTTTAATGCAAAGGTACTTTTTCCATTTGTAAGACAAGAGTAATACACATAATCCTAATTTAAGCACCTAATTTGGTGGCAAATGAATTTGGTGGCATTGAATGAAACCAAATTTAAAGCTCAATTCACATTCCCAGTCTCGGTTCGGTGTGATCACGGTCAGGTCACTATCCGGTCAAAATCAGTAGTGCGTAATCGAATAAAACGGTTCACATTATTGGTCAATATGCAATCCAGACCGTGGCGAGCACAAGTTTTTAGATCGAGACTGCCTAGTGTAAATTAATCAACGTGCTAGTCCGGTCCAATGAATGAACCCAAAACCGTCTACTCTATTTCCTATCTCTTATTTCTTCCTCTTCATTAAGAATTAATGCGATTTTCATCAAAGTTCGCCTTGAAAATATCATCATGTCAGGATTCGACAACAACATCAACAACACCTCGTGAAAACGAGCTGACTGTCTAGATTTGATTATTTGTGATCGTAAATGTGAATAATACGTCATAATCCTTGACCGTAACCGAACCAAACTGAAGCCGCGAATGTACATTGAGTTTTAGACAAAACACACTATTTCTTTTTTTAAAACGAGATTGAAAAATTGAAATTTAGTTTATAATGTACTATTTCGATGCATATTTTATTCAAAAAGTTCTTTTCTATTTTTCTAAAGAGCAAAATGGATTAAATTTTGCATTATCTGAATTATTATTATTGATGTAGTGAAAATTAGTACAAGGTAAAATGGGCTATTTATATAGTTTTTATTTAAAAATAACTAACGTTTCTATTTCATTTTAAAGCCACTTTAATAGAAATCTTGCTATACTGAACAACTTTAAAAATGGAAAGTGTCTTTTGTATTGAAGCTCACCAATTACGGTGATTCAATTAGGCTCCAAACATTTTTATAAAGCCGAAACTAAAAATACATGACTATAAGTTGACCCATTTCATTTTACTCCCACTGTATAGCTTTATACTAGAATTTACATACTTCTCTTTTGTCTCGTGTTGTGACTGTTATTGAATTTGATAACAGAACATTATTACTTTTATCTAAGCTTATTACATCGGCCCATCTAATTACTACTTTCTGTTCATTTCCTAATATGAATGAATGAAAGCACAAATACTCCACAGAGAGGTAAAGCCAACCTTGACGTGGAATTTTATTTTTCCAGTAGCTAAAATTATATAAATTTAATTTAAGTATGATATTTAAATATAACCCAATAGTATAACTTATTTTTTAATATTAACACACCTGCAAGAATAATAACAAACTAATACGCTGTCGCGAGATACATTAAACAAGCGATAAAATTTTATTGATGCATCTTTGAACGACTGTGAATCTTCTTCCCCTGGCCTCTCGGTCATAACTGTTGCAATTAAACTGTGAATTTTAGTACAAACAAACGTTGTAATTTGTTCTTCGTTTTCAAAAACTTTTAAATCTAAATTGCTTTGCAGCCATTCCCAGTCCTTAAATATTTCTTCTTCAGTTAATGCACATGCTATTTCTGAAAAAAAAGTATATAAATAATTTCTACTAAGCCACTTTTAATCAATTAATTAAATGTAATGAAATATGTTTTTAATCAATATTGATTTTAAAACATTTTTAATCAATAGCTTTTAAAAGATTAGAAAATATACATAATACTGTTTAATAATACTTAGTCATCTAATTTGATTATACAATGAACATGTTATTAAATATCAACTAACAAAAACTAAACTGATAAAATAATGATTTCATCATTTGATAAAAATAATTTAAATTAATTTATATGCCATAATTATCATAAAAATACAATTATAATGATTATTGGAATATTATGTTAAATCAAAATGTAATAGTAATGTAATACCTAAACACCATCCACAATTAATCAAAAATCTATGCATGTATTTTTTTTTATTAAGGACCATCACTATCTACTCCAATAAGTAGAAGGTTTCATTACTATTTAATTAAACTACTTTTAATGTTAATTTTCTAAAAATAATTAGAAAAATCTAATATGTTCATTTTTTTATTATCCAATGAATACAATAGAATTTATTTTAATGAAGTAATTTATTTGTTACATATTTTTTTTAACCAACATCAACAATTAATGTTTACAACAAATTACTAAATGAACATACCATAGTATACTTCAGATTTTGGTGTCTGGTGTAAAATTCTATAAGGACAAGGTTTTGTATCAAATATGCTATCAAACGTTCCCATTAACAAAGAAGAGATTTTGTTCCCTTGTCCATGTCCAATACGATGTTGCAGTTTGAAATATTCATTCGACTTTTCGGTTTGCCTTGAAAATATAATACATACAATATTGTCAAGTCAATAACAGCTTGATGGTAAGTAGATACTTACCAAAATGTATGAGCTATTAAAATCTCCTTAGGCTTCACCCACATCGTCACTTAATACTTAATATCTTTAGAATATCTATATTGTGTAAAAAGTTCTTACAAGCCTGAGAAATTATTAATGTAGTATAGCATATTGTCGTGAGCCGATCGTCACGTTCCGATTGTCAAAATAAACGTCCATAAATGAAATTAATATAAAAAATTAGAGGCTATTTCAAAGAAAACCAAATCACAAACGGCCATAGGACACTTCGAAAATATCAAATGTATATTTTATACATAAAACAACAACACAAACTATAAATTATGTACTGTGCCGACAGACTGGTACACTCATTCACTCATAGAATTATGAATATAAGACACATTTACTGGTTACTTTTTATAATAATAATAATAATAAATTATTATCATTTTTATCAAACCGACCAATGTTATCTGTTGATTGTATTAGCTTTATCAGGAACAGTACTATTATATCAATAAAAAGACAAAACAAATTAGCTGAAGCTGTATCATGTAGTGTGAGGGGGGGGGGGCAGAACCCTCAACCCAGACCCAAGGCCTCATTGTTCCAATAATGTCATTTGTCATTTCATTATTCATTATAGAATTTAGTATTATTGTAAGTTCTGCCACTATTATAGTTGGCATTTTCTGTTGCACGGTTCTATTTATAATAATTAACGAGGCATTCATTAAACGTTATCCTGTTGTTTTGCTGTTGACTCATTAACTGGTTGGCGGTAAAGAACATAATATATTATAGTACTTTGAAAAAAATCCTCCAGTTATAATAAGTTTTAACTAATTTGTTATGGACATTTCGTCCGTTAAAATCAAAGAAAAAGTAAATTATTTACAAAAAACACGAACAATTGTTTAGTAACTATTATTTTTTTTAACATGTGATACTAAAATACTTTGTTATACTTACCTGGTAAATACCCAAGTTAAATTATAAACTGTATCTACATTTAAAGTAATTAATAAATATTAAGGTAGGAAGTCAAAACCAGGTAATCTGGAAAAAATGAAAAAAATTTCAGACCCTAAAACCAGAACTCATAAGTCAAAAGAATACAGTTTTCAAACTCAACAATTTTTAACCCGTTTTGACTCCTTGTATTTTTGAACAATAATACTTAATATGATAGTATGAAGAAATCTATCGAACTTGTATATTAATTATTATACAGTCAATCCTACCAAATAAACCACAGTCTACACAGTTATGGTTTGAATACCAATTCCTATACTTTAAATGGTTACTATTGTCCGCCAAACTATGTTGTTGGAGGTGACAATAATATTAAAATATATAAAATCGAACAATAGTGGAAACATCTTACATTTTAGCATAAAAACGTTAAATTTTATACAAGTCAGTTGATATCTTCTGAGCTCTGTACTGTAGAATAAAAAGTGTATTTTGTTATAAGTAGTAAAATAGTTAGATATAAGTAGAACAATTCGTTCCTATATTTTAAATGTCACAATATTGTTTCCTGTCAATACGCTTTTTTATTATGGTATGTTTAAAAAGTCACTTCTTGTAAGAGGTAACATCTCATCTCTTCTTTAGAACCTACTCATTTTGTATTCACAATTTTTTAAATAAGATAGAGTTATCATTAAAACATTTCTTAAAGTTTTTACAAATCACAATATAAATAATTGTAGTTGTTTTGTTTAAAACATACTTTTATTAACTATTATTAAGTAAATTGACCAATCCCAAATTAAAATAATAATTATTATTTAAACAATTTAATATATAATAAAGCCATTCAAACACAACTAAATGCAATTAAAAATAAAACACAATTTAACATAAATATCTAATAAAATGTTTCAAGAAGTAGATTATTATAACATAAAGAATGAAAATACTTTATATCTAATTATATCTCTCAACAAGCTTTATTTGTTTCTATATAATTAAGAATGCATCACTTGTTAACTTTATCAAAATACTCTTTTGCTTGATTTGGATCTGGTTTGATTGTTGGGCTGTTTGGTTTCCAGTTCATTGGACAAACTACATATAAAAAGCAAAATTAGTTCAATCAACACTTAACCTGATAAAGTACATTATATAACTACACCTTCTCCATTTTTGTCAACAAATTGGAAAGCTTGGACAAGCCGTATAACTTCATCTACACTACGTCCAACGGGCAGATCATTTATAGTTATTTGTCTTATACAACCCTATGAAATGTATTTGTATCATAAAAAAATATACATAAAACATTTAATTAAAATAAACAAATACCTTAGGATCTATTATGAAAAGACCGCGGAGTGGAATACCATCTGGTTCTATTAAAACATCATAGGCCTTAGCAATTTCTTTATTGAAATCAGACAACAATGGGTACTTTAATCCACCCAAACCACCAAGCTGTAACTCATAAAATTAATTTGAATTTTGAAATAAATACAAAATAACATTAGGGTAATTTGTTAGAGGAAATTCACTAATTAATAAATAACATTAACCTTTTTAGGTGTATTGATAAATGCTAAATGAGAAAAGTGTGAATCACATGAACATCCTATCACGTGAACATCAATTTTATTAAACTCTTCAATATGATCACTGAATGATATCAATTCAGTTGGGCATACAAATGTGCTAAAATAGAAAATATAATAAATAAAAATTCATTTGAGTTAAAAAAAATACCTTACAAATCCAGTGGGTAAAAAAACAACACTACATATTTTCCAGCAAAATCAGACAATTTAATATCTTTTATTTCTCCATTAACAATTGCTTTTCCTTCAAATTCTGGTGCAGCCTGTTGAACTTTGACGTAAGTTGTAGGAGAAGAAACTAAAATTAAAAATTATTTTATAAAAAGTATAATAAAAAACAAACGATTAATTAATAACTAATATTCTTACAGGTAGTAGAATAAAGAATGTATTGTGTGTGTAAAGTATAAAACATGCATACAATTTGTCACTAATAACTCTACATATGAAACCACATCCAAATATTACTTATTTATAAAAAATGAAAAACTAACAAATTTCCAAATTTATATTTACATCTAGTAAAGCACTGAATTAAAACTATTTTAGTGCGATATTGAAAAATAGTTAGCACTAACTCTTTCAAAATGACTAAAATAAGTTATTTTGAAGCCATTACCTTTCACGGCCCTAATTTTAAATAAGAATCTTAATTAACAAATGAACATTTATAAATCCACCTCTTGTAAAAACTGAAAATAGTGTGGCAATTTTCACACATTTCACATAGGTTTAAGGTGTAAACATAAACGGCTTAAATCAGGTTGAACACTTATAATCAAACGGATAAAATAAAATTAATACTTTAATTAGTCTGAAATTAAAAATCTAAAATCTTCACTGTTTTAAAAATAATATTTGAAGTCGAATACGATGATTAAAATATATGAAAAAACACTAGTCAGGCAAAAAAAAAGGATTCCCAGTTTAGTAAATTTATTCTCTTAACCTTAATACAGGGTCTTTAATAACTCTAATTACCTACGTATTAATGTTATCATATTTTAACAAACCTTTTTGATTTTTACTTATAGTAAATTATGTACCTAGTTTATAACATACTTTAAGCAAATTATTATATGTTAAGCTACATTGTTTTCAGATAAAAAACTGAACTTGCTACTGTAATCTTAATTTTTAACAAAGTAACACAAAACAATTGGATACTTATTTCATCATGTATTTTTTAAGTATACTTACAAAATGTACGTAAAGCACTTTGGTTCACCTTGGGTGCATTTTTTGTAAGATTTTGAGTTAAATAGCTCTGAAATAATTTATAAGGTATAAATATATATTAATAAGTATAATTTATAATTGTATAAATGAGTAAAAGTTGAACATACAGATACAACAGATGAAGCTAATTTTTTAAACATTTTTATTGATATAATTTACACAAACGGCTATAAGTCAAATGAAAATACTATACTAGAGAATAAATTTACTGTATTACACAGTTCGTTATATAACAAATGAAATATGAAACTTATAAAAGTATAATATGAATGAACGGTTTGATAATGAATATTCGATTTCTTGAATGTGAAATAAAATGGAGACTGTAGAATTGAAAGGTTGCCCTTGTTATCACAATCATCAACCAAAATAGATAACATATTAACCGGTGATAAGTGATAACTAAAGATAATAAATTGCAGAGACGAGTATACTAAAAATTGTAAAATGAGTATAAATTGTCTATAGTGGTTTTAGTCATATTTTACAATAACAACATGTTACAATTGTAATAAATAATAAGATTTATAATTCATAATTCATAGGGTAACTACTTTGTAATGGTAATGCGTTTATGTGATGGCTGCAGTTATAATTTGTTTTTATTGTAAAAGCATAATTAATTAAAAACATGTAAAATATAAACAGTGGTTAAGTGGCGAGAAAGTAAGATGTTATATTATAATGAAGTAAACAAGTATCTAATATGTGAATCGCTAACTGCAGAAAGGGGACAAGTCCATTTTTCTAATTATTCATGAAAGACAAAAACTAAATATTGAGTGAAATAATAATGTTATAATTTTGAAAATTTTATATTAATTTTTAATAGCTTATATCATAATGTCAACCTTATTAGAAAAAATAATCCAATCGTTTTTAAGCATGGAACATGCTTTAGCCTTGGCATCCCAGATCGAAAACTTATACAAAATAGCGAAACGAAAGTGGCGCGATCTAGCGGTTGTATTTCTATATAATATGTAATGGTATATATAAATATATTACATAAGTGTATAAAATGTCTAGAGGCAAGTCTTTTTAAGTTTTTAGATCTGGACAATTATTATATAATAGTTTATTCAGTTCATCAAATACCTAAATTACTTGATTGTTGTATAAACTTATTACTTACTTATTTACAGTTATATTTTATATAAATAGATAAATAAATAAATTGATATACATTCATAATGTTTTAACTTATAAATAAACCATGAAAGGTACAAATCCATATACTGATATTTTTTTTTAAAAGGGTAAACAAATATATATCCTAATAAATAAAAATAATTCCAGAACAAACACAATTAAATGAATGGTTAAATTTATCCAAAATAACTGACCCGGTGAATGTTGCCAATAAACCGATTAAAGCCAAATATTAAAAAACCATTAAAAAACATTTGGCCATAACTTAAAATTAAGACTATCATCATACATCGCAAGGAGATTATAGATCGGAAATAATTATTATTCAAGAGCCAGCAGATAAAGCATGTTCCATGTTTTATAATTTTAGCCGTTAGGTTATAAGTAGACTGTAACTATTTTTAAATACATTTATTTAAGTCGAGGACAGGACTTCTTTCTGCTGTTAACTTTGTAAATATGTACCCTTAATTGATTTGACGTAGTTGAAACTGGAGTCCTGTCTCTATAATATTTTATTACACAAAGGACTATCTTTAAGAATGATTAGCACATAGTCACTTAGTCAAATTATCGAATTTCGATGTCAACAGTCAATTATCAAAAAAATAAAAACCCCATTAAAATCGGTCCAGTCATTCCATCATGATGATTAATTTAATTGTAACCAATAACCATGTTTATATTCAGACTTCAGTTTACTTTTATAAACGCATTCGCGTATTCGATCGTAACTATTTTCATACTCGCACGTCCTTAGCAATGTACATAATATTACAATAGGCCAAATACTATTTATTAATCTGTTGTGTATACTTGAATTACACATAAGGTAGCTTATGCCTTATAGGACCAAGTTATCGAATTGTCACATAGCCTAAAATCCAACCACAGATTAATTAACAAAAAACTTCATCAAAATCGGTACAACCGTTAAAACATTCATACAGAGGTTCAACATTATTTATAGGAAAGAAGATTAAATAGTATATCTTTATTATTTATTTTATATAATACTATCTACATGATGCTAAGTTAAAAAGGCAGTATTCGATTTCTCGGTTAACTTAATTTATTTGTGTCCTTTCATATGATTGATGAACTATAGTTATTATTATAATTTAAAATGAGTAGAGCTTAATATTAAGTACTTGAAATAATATGTTTACATAATAGAAAAATAACATTATTCAATTGTTCTTTTTTTTTATTACAGTTAATTCACCAATCACACAATCTTCAGGACTCGTTATTTTATTTTGATACAAAACCACGATGAATAATAATTATTATATAAAGCACGCGACAGACAGTATAGTCAAGTTGAACTATAAGTTGGATAAATTATGTATAATAATGGGCGTTGTACTTCATGCATATCCTTCGCCATTTGCCATTAGTGTTACAGATTTTGCACGTACCTCGCAAATGAAAAAGTCATATTTTGTACGTAGTCTTTGGGAGCTTACATAATCTTATTTCGGCCAAGGGTTTAGCGGTTACGCATTATAATATACATTATAAAATAACAACCTTCAATATTTTTGTCTCGAAATTTCCGACATTAACTAATAACATTCTAGTTTTACCTATTATTCTAACAATAATTAAACCAAATAATAACTGCAATGATACTACTACACGATTTGAAATATATTAAGCCCGGCTGCTAACATAGTTTTTGCTACGTATACCTAATTGGGTACTTAAAAATTTTATAACTATAAACAAATTTCTTTGTTTTCGAATGCCCAATTAAATGACTTGTGGGAACTGGAGAAAAGTTAACACCCGGGCTCAAAATTTGTTTATAGCCAAACATTTAAATATATTATTTCTATATTATTGCACTCATTAGTTTTAAAATTGTAATTAGTCGTTTTTAATAAAAAAATTACTATTTTGCTACACATTTTATAGAAAAAATAATCGCATCAAGATGTTTATAATTAAAAATGTTAAAATAATTTAAATATTTTAGTTATTTTACTACAATAACGAAAACAGTAATGACCGTTTGCACCAACTATACTTAAAAATATTTAAGGGTAGCTTACCAATACTTAAACTTTAGGTAAAACTCTACTTATAATTTAAATATAGTGGCATAAACCAAAAAAAAATGATTTTATGAGAAAACTCTATGGCTCTATGTAAAAGTTAAAACAAAAGAGAATATGATTACATTTTAGAGATTGCGTTATTTTGTGAATTAGTACACCATTCCCTACGTTAATAAGGCAAGGCTATAATTTATATCGTTAATTTTCATTATAAGTGACCATTACATTAACAACGATTTGCAGTTCATAAGGTTTAGGAAAATAATAGATGATTAGTAAAATATGTCCTTAAGACTAATAAAGGGAAATCCACTTTCTATAAATGTTACAAATTTAAAAAACCTAAAAGAAGTTTGTTTTATTTGATTATTAAACTAAGTTTCTAGGTTATTGAAATGAACCTATTTAATATCTTGATAACTCACACCTGATAGATAGTTACCGTTATTAATTTGAAGGCCAAAAAGTCGTTAAGTAATATTGAGATTTTTTTTTAATTTACTTATTAGACCTTACATGTACTAACATTTTTATACCAATGCCGGGTACAACCTTTTTTTTTATTAATGCTAAATGTTTTTTTCACTAATTGTAAGTAGCTGCGTTAATAACATCATATCTTCAGTCATGTAATAGACATATATAAATATATATATATATATATAAACGGTATATTACAAACGGTAATTAAGGCAAATTATAACAAACTAAACGAATTAAGGCCAAAGATCCAAATAATAAATGAGCCTACGTTTCTTTTATAACAATACAAAATATACTACTTGACGCATTCTAGCGAAGGAACAAGTAAATTATCGAAGTGATACTGTAAATCAACCTGAGGATCAACACAGATTATAATCGTAAGACATTGATGGCCCGTTTTTTTTAATAATTCGTACATAATTAATAAATTAATAAATCTATAGAATGATTTTCTATTTGTAGAAATTCGTTAGAAAAAAATAGTTAGAAGATTGTCTTAGAAGATGACAATTACCAATGATTAATTGTCATCTTCTAAGATGTCCAATAAAAATGTTAATTGTATAAATGTTATGGCGCCTACTCATACATTTGAACTTATGAAATGCTACAGACTACACTCCTTAAAGTTAAGTACATACTTGTAGTGAGCTCCGCCGTAATTACCCGTGTGCCCAAATACTCTAAAGTCTAAGGAGATACTATTATAACATTTTTAGTAGTATTTAGTATTAATTTAGTGAAACGGGAAACCATCGCACCATAACCCCTTCCCCAGGATGGCAACTCTTATCTCTTGTAGAGCATGAATTGTCCAAACCCACCTAAACAGGTCATAGACTAAAATAAAAAAAATTAATTAATACAAAATTAGAGATTTTATAATATGGTATTATATTAATGAAAAGTTTGACTAAACACGTGTATACATTTTACCTAGAATCATGAAAATGATTATTAAAAATAGAATAAAACTTGTATAGTAATTAATAAGGTATTTTGTAAGCTTTTCAGTAAGAAAACTGTTAAATAGCGTCAAGCACGTAACAGTTTAATAATCTAATGACCAGTTGCACAAAAAATGTACACCTACGTTTATAAATGCCCATTATAATTTGATTATACTAGGTACTTGCATTCATTAATGAGGACCGTTCTCACGGCGTTTAAAGAGTTTTTGAAGGGGTTGGGTAGGGACTGTAAGTGCTGATTGCTGATTGAGTTAAGTCCAATTATTATGGCGCATAAAGGTATGTAAGTAGACCCAAGGCGACCGCGCTTCTACAGATTTCCCTTTCTTCGATCTATAACTGTTTGCCATTTGTATAAATATTCAGCGGATAGCTGTTTGGTTTCAGTGAGCGCAAAATCAAGTCTGTATAGTGTACTTATTACGTTACAAGTTTTGGTAAAATTATACCTAACTCAAAATACAGGCAAAATGATATACATAGTAAGTTTATTTAAAATTATACAATCTTTAATCATAGCTCTAACATGATGTTATAAAATTAGTGCTTAGATATGCCTAACTAAATGTTCTTATCTTGTGATTGCAAACTATAGAAATACTACTATAATTTGCAAATTCTAAAACATAAAATATTATTTATACATATTAATTTACTATCTAGCACATTTTATGTACTATCTGGTACTTAAATTTTTTTACAAATTAATTCCGAAGATAATATTAATTGTTAGAGATAAGAAGGGGTATCGCTTATGCAACTTCGCAGCAGATCGGAATATAAGCCTTGACAATTGCACAGGTTTAAAAAATTCGATTTATTGTTTTACATTTTAACATTTTTACTTAAATATAACATATTATGTTATGTCAAATGTCAAGGTTATTAACTGTTTACCATAATAACTGCGTATCACACTTTTTCATACATAATAAACAAATACAAAAGAAAAATTGTATAATATAAAATTTTAAATGTAAAGCACATTTTTTAATAAAATATAGCTGTGCCTAATAATTTATGAAACTTAAAAAGCAAGTTATTTTATTTTCTTGTTAATACATATTATATTATACGTTATTCATTTAAAATAAAATATGATCAGATCAATAGCTTATTTGTATTTAATTTTGTGATTAAACTACATAGTTAAATAATTACTAAAGGTTATAATTTGGAAATTGTATAAATATCATTTTTTGAATACCAAGGTAGCGTAAAAAATACAAAATTCTAATAATGTCCAGTTTTTTATTATTATTCGGTTGACGCATAGCTGTTATTAATTATTTACTTTTTATTATTATTATTATATTTGAGATATACGAGTTCTTTAGCTACTTTTCTAGGTTAGGTAAGAAACGGATTTTTGGTTTTTTATGTGAAAAACATTTTTTAATATTGAATATTTTTAAAATTTAATTTATTAAATTACAAGAACCTGCATTTTTTTTAAAGAAAATCTGTTTCCAAGAAAAACCTTGTAAAATAATCAAAGAACTTTAGTGTCTTTACAGAATTTAAATCAGACCATCTAAAGTAGGCGTAATTTTGACAGACATTTAGGTCTAAAATTCCACCAAAATCAACACTACTTTAATATAAAATAACCCATTCTTTTGTGTTTTATTTTTAACAGTTGGCGATATTTACCGGCGTACTGGGTTTGGGCGCAAGCAGCCCTGTATCGCCGTTCGGCTATGCGGCGCTCGCTTATAAGCCTATCTCGGCTTATGATTCGCCGTACGACTTTGCGACCACTCCGCCCAAGTACAACTTTGCTTACGACGTAGCCGATGCGGTTACTGGCGACTTTAAAACACACTCGGAAGAGCGCGACGGCGACGTGGTCAGAGGCCAATACACCGTTGTGGAGCCCGACGGCACTAAGCGTATAGTGGACTACACGGCGGACGACCGAAACGGTTTCAACGCGGTCGTTTCTAAGGAAGGCCAACCATCCGCGGCGACCAGCTCGTTCAGACCCGCGTACAAGGCGCCATCGGCGTACGTTCCATATCCAGCCCCGGTCGCATACACAGCATACCCGACGCCAGCCGCATATCCGCCGCCTACACCATACAAGCCTGCATACCCGTCTTATTATAACCCGGCGGCTTATAAGCCAACGTACAGGTCCCTTTACAAACGCACCCCGTACATGGCGCAGCCCAAATCGACGGCGTACCCACCGCCCTACAAACCGGTATATTAAGTATTTAAATATGTGAATATTTTTATAATATGAAATAAATATTTTTGTATTTTTAAATATAAAATTATTATTATATAATATAACAAAAATATATATATTTAATTTTGTAATAAAAAATAGATATTATAGTTAGTATTTTGTTTTTTACTTATGTTGGTCGCTATATTCCAAAATGTCAAATTTAATGTGCGTAAAAATGTATATCAAGTAGTACATCAGTGGCATATTTTTTATACTAGATCAATGATACGGTTGGTATTAGATAAGTTTGTTAATAAAACAAAAATCTGCTAAAAATTAAGACATTTCTGACAAAATTCTGTTACCCTTGTAACACTTATCAAACTTATTTCCTTTCTTTTTTAGACTTTTATTGTATTTTTCTCTTATTTAATTATTTTCAACGACCAACGTTTTTGATCTTAGCATTATTTTATTGCTAATATAGACGAAATCATGGTTATCTACTAGATAACCTGACTGAACTGAGACACTATATTTAGGTGTAAACATTATAGTAAGACTATTTCTTATGTATAATTCTTTATTGCAGACAAACACGAGATATTGTGGGGGCTGTAGAAATATTTAAAAAGATCTAAGCACCTCATGTCTCCCCGATTTTTATCTATGAACAAATATTTAATTCTATATTAAATATAGAATTTAATATAGTTATGTTAATTGTACATGCAATTACTTAAATACAATGATTATAAACTTTAAAATTTTTAAAAAAATAATTTTTTCAACAAAAAAATAGTTTACTTGTTATTATAAATCATCCACTTTTAAAAAGCATAATGTAGATCATTATCTTGTCTGGAAAAATGTATCCACTACAGTCTAGAAATCTATAATATCTTATTCAATAAACATTAGTTTTGCATAACTATATAGTATTTTAAATTATATGCTTTGTGAAGGTGAATTTATAGTGTCAAAAGCAAATGGAATATTTTTTTTTATATGATAATGTAAAAAATATGATTTATTCATAACATATTTTACTCAACTGTCAGCCAAATAGTTTTGCTTATAAATGTTTGAAATGTGTAGGTACGACTCTGATACAATATAGACTGTCGTCTATTTGCCTTTTTGTATTGTGTCACTTTTCGATGAGGTGTGTATACAAAATTATGCTCATTTGAACTGTTTAAAACCATTAATGTAGTTAAAAATGAAACCACGAAAGGAATCTCGGAGTAAATTAACAAGTTTTATTAAAGAATGTTCCTTAGAAAACTCGTTGAGTGTGCTAAAACATGTCATACAAGCCGAGAATGTCCACGAAAGGTGAGTAGGTCCCAAACATAAATGATGTATTTAAATTTTCAGTTTTATTAACTCAGTTTTAGCGGAACTCAATTGAAATTTTGCTGACTAATTTAGATTATGATGGTTAAATTAAAAAAATATGAATAACATTTTTATAAAAATGGTAGGTTAGGTATGGTAGGCATTTAATATATATATTTACTGTTCCTACTCTTGAATCTTAAAACATAAAAAATGCGATTTAAAAGTTAGATTGCATCATTTTTGCTCTGTGATAATTTATATTTATTATTTCTTTTATATAGTATAAGCATGTGTTGAAAAATCTGGAATTACTATGCGCTCCACTCCAAAGTTGCCTTTTATGTTTTAATGTATGTTTATGATATAGTATTTATATTATAGTAATTTTACTCTTTATATAAGTACACTGACTCGTCATGTCAACTAAGATTAGTTATTTGTTGTTTAATATTAAGTTTCTTAATACCATGAACAACAAAATGTGTAAAATCTATTGAAGTTCTTAGGTCTCCCGTTTATCAGGCTAACACCAATTATTATTTTCTTAAAGTCATAATATGTTTCAAACCCGTCCAATTTTTTTCCAGACGTTCAGACTTTGGCCTTGTTTTGAGTATTTTCGACTAATCAACTTGATGTATTAGTTTTTTATTATTATACTGCAAGTACATTTTTTTATCAACATCACTGCGGTTCGGGATTAAAACCGTGTGTGTTTATTGTACACTTGCGTCATACTTGCCCAGAGGCAAATTTCTATGAACTCTTACCTCTTGGTAAGTGCGACCACTAGGCCAACTCGGACGCAGAAAAATAAACAAAAAAAATCGTGTCAGACTCATTTTAACTTGCATCTCAATCTTTTTTTTGTGTTTCGTCATGACAATATTATATTTTGTACGTTCATAAAATCTGCCAAAGTCATGAAACTGTTAATACCTAACCTTAATCTAACTTAGCCCACATCAGACTACCGATAGTACAATATTGAAAATAATTGAACATAAACCTTTGTATCGGAATGTTAAAACTAATTTTGCAGGTTTAAGAGCAACAACAAAGTAATAATCTGCAATACGAAAAATAATAATGATTGTTTTATACCGCTTCAACTAAATAAAAATGTAACTTCTACAGCTGTAACAGAATACAAAAAAATATGCGCGTTCATTAATTTTTATATATTTCTTTTTCACCGTGCACTATTTATGTTTTGAAAGTATTATGTTATCACAATACAACCTTTTTACGTGTATAACTCATACGCAGCACTCGGTCAAAAATAATTGAGTTATATTTATGTAACCAGCCGAGTAATTGTTTGTGTAATTTACTGAAAGTTTTCATTCGAAATTGACGTGTTGCACAGCGGCCCAATTCAACGGCCCCGGCTGATATCCAATTAGAAATCAAATATAATGAATGTGGTTTTTTTCAAATACAAAACACAGTAATATCTTACCTACGCGTATAGCACAGGAAATATTTGCATAACAGAAAGACTTATGTTTCGAGTTATTCTACCTGAATAATTTTGATTTTACAAGTGCAAGTGTACATTTGTTTTCGAAATCCTAATCAGGGAGGTTGGAGTAATAAACGTGCATATATTATGTATTATACACTTGGTAATACACTTTAAGACAGCACCACAATATTATAATTATTAGTGTCAATTCTCGCCTGTGCAATTAAAAGACCGAGTTATATCACTATGTATTTTAAGTGCTAGTTTTAAATAAGAAAAACGTAATAATAATCACATAAAATATATCGTTACACTTTTCCATCAATACATAAAAGAATATATATTTTGCATTTAAATATTAATTTGGTTAACAATGATTTTTCCAAGGAAAACTTGGGCCCTAGCCCTTTGAGGCGTCTAAAAAAAATTATAACATGAGTTGGTTTATTCTGTGTTGAGTCTTATTCCGTATTTTTTAATGTCCTAATTTTTAAAAAAGTAATATTAAACTAAAATATTTCTATAAATATTCACATGAATATAGGTATATCTATTCCAAGATAAACAGTCATTTTAATAAATAAGGGGAAATAAACAGACTTTTGAATATTTAAAAATATAAATCTTGAAAAATCGATATTTTTTTTTTGTTATTCTTGATTTTGAATAGGAAGAAAAAGACGTTTTTTTTTTAATTTTGACTTAAAGAGTAACGTAATGATTAATAAGTAATATATGATTTTAAATAATAATTTTTCTTGCTTTATATTTTCTAGATAAGTCATCAGCCTAGTGCAATAATAAATACTTTCATAAGAACATACGTTCTAAGGACATCTAATATGTACCTATATATTTTTAAAATAATTGAGCATTTGAGTTTATAGCTTCGATGCAAGGCAGTTACCACGTTATTTGCATAGATCCAAAATACAGTGAGACAAAAAGTTACAGCAAAATTAGAAATTCACAAAAAATCAAGATTTTAAGTAAATTGTTGTTTTAATGATAGTATTTCCAATTTGATCACGAAAAACAATGTCAACAAAAAAATATGTATGAACATTTGTTTTAACAACAGTTCTCTAATCGGGTGAACATGGAATTTGATTTTAACAAGAATTGGATATTTTTTCATTAATTAATTTATGACAATTTTGTTTGCGAATCGATGATTTATGGTCTGTAATCGCTCCCATTGCAGGCGGTTTTGGATAGTGATTTTGTTCATTGCCATGTTCGGTACTGGGTATTGCGTTTTAGAAGTGTGGAAAACCTATACGTCCAGCTTTACCAAGACCACCATTATGTCTACATCGCACCCATACGCTTTTGTTCCTTTTCCGTCAGTGACTCTATGCGAGACCAGCCGGGTCCACGCGCCCGTACTCGAACAACTGTAAGCCCTTAAAACATCACTACAGTATACAAATATACCTAACACGTTAAATAAATATACCGTTTTGTCGTTACTCGTTTTGCTTAAAGATTTCAAAAAGCAGCGGGTAAACCGGGTTCTTACGACGAAGCGGTGGCCAACCTGATGCTTTTGTTGTCCACGCACAGGTTACCTCTATTTTCGGAATTTAAACGTATGAAAAAATGGTTAACGCACACCGAAAAACTCAACCAACTCAACATAAGCGACATGCTATTGAAAGTACGGAATATGATTTGAAATAATAATTTAAAAACTAGAATTTTTTCCATTTGAAAATATTAAAATATATTGTAATAATATCAATCTTTTTGTGGCGGAATAAGCATAGTAAACGGTTTGTTTGGCCCAGGCCCACCGGACTTGCGAACAAATGTTTTACTCGAACTACGCCGAATGTTGGTGGCGAAACAATTTCTACAACTGCTGCAACTTATTCGAACTACAAAAAACCGCTTACGGGTATTGTTACAGCTTTAACTCGGACGTGTCCGAATACAGTAGACTGTAAGTCTTTGTCAGCCTGATAAACTACCGAGGGGAAGGGAGGGAGGTTGGTTCTTTCTAGTTATGCGTTACTAAATTACATTACACGCTTGTAGAAAAATTGGTCTCAAAAAGTCACAATTTTTTAATTTAAGCTTACATACCACTTCAAAGTACAAACGCCTGTCATTCACAACTGCACGGTGGCCAGCGCACAATTAAAACTTGGTGATATTTCCATATTAATTTATAAGCCGGTTGGTTGCGTTTCAGAAAAACACAAACGTACGGTATGCACGGAGACGAGAAGGATTACTGGGAAGACGACGACGGAATGCCCAGACCCAAAAGGACTGGCAGCAACGATGAGTGGTCAGCGTTGCGAGTGTCGTTGGACGCACAGCGAATCCCAAGTGTCGTGAACGCCAAGTCCGGAGTTATGGTCGCTGACTGAAACACACCGGGCAACAGACTGAATTAATTTTTTGTAATTACTTTTATGCTCAGGTAATGGTCAGGGATCCGAGTGCGTTACCCGTGGACCTAGGGCTAATGATCGCTAAAGGCACTAGCGGCGAAATCAAGTTATGGGGCGACAAGGTGATGCCCACCAGGCGTCTGATGAGGGTCAAATCAGAAAAAAGACAATGCTTTTATCCCGGCGAGCATCGTTATTTGGGTAGAGGATACTTGAGATCAAATTGTATCACAGACTGTTATCAACGGTTCATGTATTATTTTTGCGGTTGCGTGCCGGGCTTTAATTACTTTCCGTACGACCAAGGTAATATCATTGCAATAATAACGTATTCAATCGAAAATATATAATTACATCGGCTAATCCGTTTCTTTTCCGTAGACTTTACTTACCCCGAATGCAATTTCGAAGGACTCATTTGTTTGGCCGAATATTCGAGTAAATAATTATGTACTATTATACTTTGTACGCCTTTATTTGGTAGTGTGCGATCCACATCTAACATGATTAAACAATAATTACAGAAAAGCACTAATATAAAAAAGTAATTCCGTTGTAAGAGAGATACAACTTTGTATAACTTATAACTTGTAAGTAAGCTGTCCACCATGCGGAATGCTAAGAGGCATATATCGTAATTACTCGCAATAGATAACTAAATAAGTACAGTAAATAAACAATCAAACGTTAATAAATACAAAATAATTACCAAAAATAAAAAAAATATATCAGACAAAAATATCACAGGAGTAAAGTATTACATAGTAGGATTAGTGTATATGTGAACAGAGCTTTCAATTATTTAACGATTTACGATTTACGAAGTACTGGGGAAGTAGAAAATGGATAAATGTCCAACATATATTTGATTTTCAAAATTCTACTATGTTTTTGCACATAACTTTTACTTTATTTTTCATAATAAACTTCCCTAGGCTAAAAACAACACTAAAAACTTTATCTTGGAAATAGGTAATATTTAAGATATGAAAAATTCCTGCTTATGTTATATCGTTTCATATTTAGACTATATAATGTAGATGTATTCAGCTATTGATTGTTTGGTTACGTTAGCCATTTATATATTTATATCTTATAATATATTTGGTAAATTGGTTCTAAGTAAAAAACAAAATTTAACTGGTATGCATATGTATATATATATATATATAATAAAATGTTTAGATTATATTTATTTTTACTGTATATTTAAACAGAGGTGAAACTACCACTAACAAATAGTTAAAAATCTCTGATGATCTAGTGTACTAAATTTCTAATGGTGTTTTACCAAATAATACAAAATTCAATAATACTTAACATAAGTCGCGTCTATGGTATATGAGTATATGAATATTGATTACAAGCGTGGACAATTTTTAAATAAAAATATTTAGTAAAATCGAAGGTAAAACAAATTTCAGCAAATTTTGTGAATATCGTTGGTCAGGACAAAAACATATCGTCAGACCTGGTATGTGAATGTCCGGGCGATTGCAGCAGTCAGAAATACAAATCTAAAATAGTGGTTGGCAACGACACGCAAGTATCAAAAAAAAAAAATCCTAAGTGAGAAGTATATTCGTATGACTAATTTGTATGCATTCGCAGGTTTGTAGCAAACCAAATAATTGTCGACGTGCATTTTCAAAGATCAACGTGTTTCCTTTACGAAACAGATATAGTATTTGATTTTATGAACGCATTAGGTAATATTTCTATTTATTTTATAAATAATTATTGAAAAATTTCTATTCAACAACTTTTAAAACCATTTAGACTTAATAAACTTTTTTAAACGTATTTTTAGTGGCTTACGGAGGAGTATGCGGTCTTTTCTTGGGAGCATCTTTAATCAGTGGAGTTGAATTTGTCCATTTCTTGACTTTTCGTATATACGACTACTGGATGAATCATCGATACACAAACAAAATTTTCCAACGTTTTATAAATTAATTTATTACAAAATAATCCAATTCACGTAAATTCAAATTCCATGTTCACCCGTTAAGAGAATTGTTATTTAAAAAAATATGTTAAAACACATTTTTTGTTGACATTGTGTTTCGTAATCAAATTGAAATATTATCATTAAAGCAATTGTAAACAGTTTACTTAAAATTATGATTTTTTTGTGCACTTATAATTTTACTGTAACTTTTTGTGTCTCACTGTATTTTAGACCTAGAACCTGTGTTGTAATAATAATACTAATTACACTATGTATTCGCAATCCATTTTTACATTTTGAACTCCACCGAACTAATAAAATATCATAATATACAAATCTATTTTTTTTTACCTTTCCTAAGAGGTATCAACTAAAATAATGGTCATGCAAAAACATGATAAAAAACATAATGTAAAATCAATATCTTCTCTGTTTCACATAGAAGCTATAAACTATAAGTTACACAAAATCTAATAAATATACCTATAAGTCTTATATTTTTTAAGTTAGGTTAGGTTAATATTTTGGTGTTAATTTTTTTTAAAGTCTTTAATTGATAGAACCAAAAAAAAGGAAAAATCAGACTGGTGTCATGTTAGTTTGCAGTTATGCTATGACCTATGTATAAATGAATCAACAGGTTTGTTTTCATTATATTGTTGATAATGACAACAAAAAATTATTATAGACGGCCGGTCAACCCTTATCGTTTCCATCCTAATACTAAAAACGTAATTTTTAACTCTTTATGGCCTTTACAATGATTTTAATGTTTTGATATTTAATATTTCTTCAATTTAAAGATTCGCCTCGAGGCTTTTTGTTGAGAGTGATTTTATTGCTTTAGGTTTATCTTCAAACAGTTGTATTGTCGGTATCATGGGCGCCCGCAGGAAATTTATCAGGGAGGGGCATAATGAAATTACGTTTTTTGGTGCTTACTGCGCTTAAATTTTTAAACCTCTCTACAGTATATCATATAAGAAAACTTTTTCTTCAAATTTAAATTTATAAATTTATACTTAAGTCAAAATATCAATTAAATGTTTATTTAAACAATAATAAAAGTTTCAATTTTCAATATTATATTTGAAGTCCGGGGGGGGGGGGAAATGTCCCGTCTTGCCACCCCTTTCCGGGCGCCCATGGTCGGTATTAACTTCACCGACCTCACTCTGTGCCGTTCCCCTTAACTCCGACCTCTCTGTGCTGGCTTTTTCACTTTATTATTCTAAAAACTAGAAATTATTGCCGGCAACCGTTTTTTTACCCACAACAGTTTACATTTTAGAGGTTTACTGAAAAGCTTTTTATTATTTCTCAATATAGTAAGAAAAAGTTCATTTTTTTGTATGCATAAAAATGTTTTCTATTGTACCTTAAGTCCTAAAGTGCGTTCAAATATAAAGGGAAATACATCTAAAATCTACTTCGTAATATGTTTTTTCTATTGGTTTCGGTTCTTAACAAAGAAAATGTTTGTATGGATGGCATCCTAACGTATACCTTATTGAAATTATTTATGACATACAGTGATGTGTGTCTCTTTATCGTGTCACGTTAAAATACTTTTTTTCTAGTAGGCGTATTTTTCTACCCTATCACACTTTGGTCATTTAAATCGAAGTTATTTCGTCCATTCGACAACATGTCATCTGTGGCGAGAAGAGTGAAGTTGTGCCGTTTACGAAACAACATTTCCAAACCAAAAGTTGTGAACAATAACTCGGTATGGAAAAATATTTTAGAAGACGTCTGCAGCCAGTGTTCTGTGCACGGGCTCAACCATATCACCAAGAAAGACCGTAGTCTAAAAGAAAAGTAAGGTTATATATAATCAGGAATGCGTCAATTTTGATTACTGTCATGTTTCTAGAACATTTTGGACTATCATCGTTATACTAGCGATTCTGTTAGCTACTTACGCCATCTTTGAGTCTTGGATGTCCTACAACAAGAGCACGATAGACACTGTCGTGGAAACAACATTCTTTAATTATGCGGAAATAGCGTTCCCATCAGTATTCATATGCGACAGTTCCCGAGTCGACTGGGACCGAGTGATGAAGTTGACCCCAGAGTAATAATTCAACTTTATAAATATTAACTAACTGTTATAATGAAACTAATGAGTTCTGTTTTGAATATGATATTTTTCTAACGTTTTTATTTTTTTTTTTATTAAAAAACATTTATCTTAAGGGCAGATAAAAAAAATATTTAAGTTAGGTTTGATTTGGCACCTTGGTTTAAAAGTTTTTTAAAAATATGTAATACCTATATAAAATGTATAAAGTAAGAAACGCATTTACCAGAGATATTCCGGGGTTCGATCCTAAACTGTTGCCGACGGTCAGAAAAGTATTGAAAACATTTTCGCTTTTATCGTACGGCGATTTCGATCAATTCGATGAATTGGTTAACGTAACGGAACTTTCTCAGCTGAAGACATTGAATCTCACTGAAATGTTGTTCAAGGCAAGCCGTTATTAATTAAGACGCTCTAAAGACATTGAATAAACATAATGTTAAATACGATGGTTTCACAGGTAATGAGACCGTGTAATGAGATGTTTATCGGCAACTGTTGGTGGAATTTCAAAGAAGTGAACTGTTGCGATTTATTTGAAGTGCACCGTACCGAATTCGGGCTGTGTCATTCGTTTAATTCGGATTTTTCAGAATACAGTAGGGCGTAAGTGAATGTTCAACGCAATATATACTTAATCTACCAGCAATAAACTATATTATAGTACTATGATAACAAAAAACAATTTTTAGAAGACTCGGCGCTGATTCGGGGCAAATTGGACATTTTTGGCGAACGGAGCGTGGGGAAATCCGACCTCGAAGAACGGGCGACAAGGGACAATGGTCAGGTATCAGGTAGGCAATATAGGATTAGCACCAGACTACTAATTATCATGTTTAATCACATTTTTAAGAGATTTCACTGATATCAAATTAATTTAGTAAGCAATACGTTTCAATTTTACTCCACCGTATTATTAATCTGATCGAGACTAAATATTTGTTAAACGTCATAGTAATCAATGAAATTTTGTCAAAAGTGCACAAGCGGTCGAGAAAATTAAAAATAGAAATATACAGGTGGGGCGTGGTTACTTCCTTATTTTAAAAAATCGTAACACAAAAAGTATTGGAAATATCGATTTAATTTTCTTTCCATTGTACAGGGGTACATTTAAAGTTTTATTTCATTGGGTTTTAAAAACGACATCTCGAAGGTGGCCACTGTCCTCGTCAATGCACTGAGATGGCCGAAATCTCTTTAGCCGCCGAATGTTTGCGTGCAGATCGCCTAGGGGATTTCAAAAGCGCCGCCCTTACCCTCCCGATGTTTTCTGGCGTCCTGACGGTTCTGGAAGGTCCATCACATTTCTTTTTCACAACTAACAGTATTCCGAAACGTGTCCTCCCATAAACAAATCAATTTCCGATCAGGCACACGACCTACAGGCGCGATGTTGAAATGCTTTCTGAAGTTGAGTTGTGATGACCGAACGGCCGAAGGAAAAGTAGGCCTCCACGGCGAACACGCGCTCCTCCTTTGTCCACTGCATTGTTGACATTGAACTAATCATAAAAAAAACTTTAGATACCGAGCTTTCGAACACGCCATATACCAACACTCTAGGAGTAATGGTCACTTTGTGGCGCGAGTTTCAAATAAGGAAGTAACCGCGCCCCACCCTGTACTAGTTTAGATTTTAAGAAATTAGTAAAAAGTAAAATGTACATATACATACAAATAATTAAATTTAAATGAATATTAATAATTTTATACAAGCAATTGTATAGTACTGCATTATGTAATGTAGTGCTAGGTATCTTAATTTAAGAAAAACAAAAAATTACCGCAGTATGAGATCATGTTCAATTACAATGGCGCGTAGGTATGTATCTATTATTTAAAGTTATAATAATTATATTATAATAAACCCATCACAATGCGATCAAGATGGAGGAATTGTAAGGAAAAATCATAGTACAGTTGGGAAGGCAGCCAGGAGGAGATCTTCAGGAATTACTATAATTGAAACTCTAAAATCATTTAAAAAAAAAATGATTCGATGCAGAACTGTAAAAAACTGGTAAAATTTAAAATTAGAAATCGTTCAGTTAGAGAAAGATACCGAATCGTGAAAATTATTTTTAAATTTTGATAAATGCTCTCCCTCTCCCCTTTATCCCATTGAACAAACGGTCAAATCCGGATTAAATCACAGATGTACAGGGTGTAATGTAAAGTTCTGTCGATCTTCAAATGAGACATTCAGGATGCTCTATGGGTACAATAAATATGATATTCATTTTTTTTAAATTTAAAATAGAACTTGTATCTCAATAAAACATTGTCTTACGAAAAAAATAATTTCAGATTTGAAATTGGGAGAAAAAATCGTGTTGAATTGATAAGTAACATGATTTTTTGGTATCTGGCCACACAACTAAAACCAATATATGGCATGTGAAACATCATTTAATATAAAATAGTTTTACGGACACCACTGAATTGAGAATTAAATTCTATTCTTGTGTATTTGAACATCGATAAACTTTTTAGTCCAATTTGTTTTTATTAAAGAAACCAATAATAATGACACGATTATAACCCTTAATATATCGTTATTTTTCTTTTAAAAATTATTTTATTATTTTATTCATAATAATTCTAAATGCCTCTACCTACCCGAAAAAAACTGTTATGCTTTTATATGGTAGGTAGTAGGTACTCGTGCTGTGTGCCGAGCGGTTGATAATTTAGAAAAAAAAATCCAATTCGCAGAAATGTACTTTGATTTTATTTTTACAAAGAAATTAGAACAGCTAGATATCAAACGACTATTATCGGTTTTTACAATAATTTACATCAAGTTGGTCAATTAGATCTTTTTATGAAAAGTTCCAGCACGGAACACTCGTAAAGTCATACAAGTACCTACCTCTTAACGATTTATGTTTCAGAATGTATATATCTACAATGAAACCTGATCAAATAGCTCCGGGAATAAACGCCAAACCTTCAGTCCGAGTAATTTCGCTATTCCAAGCGATACTCCTAAATATGATAATTACTTATCCGGCTACTTAATTTCTTTGTAGGTGATGATGGGTGAACCAAGAGGTGCTCCGCTTGGGTCGGACATGGTAGTGATGGCTGGAAGCTTTGGTAATATTCACGTATGGGGAGATCGTATTTACAATACTAAAAGAACAAGAATGCTAAATCCAAAAAAAAGAAAATGTTTATTTCCCGACGAGAGCGGGACAGGCATGGGTACAAAATATTATCTCCGCAGGAACTGTAAAACTGCCTGCTACATGAACCATGTGTTAAACTACTGTGGTTGTTATTTGGAATTTTCGTTTGCCCTAATGACCAGTAAGAATACTAAGAAATAATCGTCATAAGTTGGCACAACAAATGTTTAATGAAAACACAAGTATTTTTTTTAAGTATTTAAGTTTAGACACTAATTAACTTGAAATATATTTATAGAAAACGATTCATTAAGACCGTGCAACGTAGAAGATTTATTGTGTTTGTCACAAAAAAACTGTAAGAGATCAAACAATTAAAACCAAATTAATCGATGATACCTAAAAATCTAAATCTATTTTAGTGATATTTAACAACTTTATACCAGCAGTAGCAACATCATTTTTTCAAAACGAACCACCAGGCATTAGATGCGACTGCATGCCAGACTGTCACCATCAAATGTACATATCTGAACTAACCATCGCCGAGCCGTCAGTGACCTCAGTTTTGTGAGAACCAAAAAATTATATTAAAAATAAAAAGTATTGACAAAAGAGGTATAACTTAAATACGATGTTAAATATTTTTTTTTTAGTAATTCTTCGTCATCAATACTTATTGATCTTCACTTCAGACAAAGCACGTGTATACTATACAGATCAGACTTGGTATTAGGCTGGCTTGATTTATTAGGTAGGTAGTATACGCCTATTATCGGAACCCTAATAATTGAAGTCGTAATTTAAAACTTTTTAAGTTTCATTTGGCGGTTGTGCCGGCCTATTTTTGGGAGCATCTCTACTAAGCTTCATTGAGCTAATTTACTTCCTAACATGGAGAGTATATTACCATTGGAAAGGGAAACAAAGGCAAATATTAAAAAAGAAGTCTGAATTCGAAATAAACACATGGAAAACGGATAACAACAAAATTAAACCATTTCTTGCATGAATACAAATTCAAAATAGAATATACTATAAAATTAAATTAGTTATTTAAATTTAAGTTCATTTTAGATAGAAAACATACATTATAAAAAGTATAATTTTAATTACCAATATTGTTATAATATAAATTTGAATTACGAAGCTTTTATTCATAATAAATTTTAACAAATATACCACAGTTTATATAATATAGGTATAATTAAAACATTATATTTAATCAAACTAATATAATCTATAAATAGATTAGGTATAATTGTATAATGGTTACAATCTGCAGAAAATGTTTTTATAAATAGAAAAAATCTTCGTTGTTAAATAGCTGAATGTATACAATATAGTTATCATTAATAGTTATACAAACATAAAACAAATATTTCACTGTAAATTGATTGGTAATTAAACAATTCATAAATAAACAAAAAGAAATAACATAAATACTTAAACTTTACTAATACTGCTTTTAACTTAACCTTTGCTTAATACTATTTACTTAATTTTATAAAAATTATACAGCCAATATAATTGGTACAACAAAAATAAATTTAGAAATATGAAGACAATACTGGCACACAAGACTACTGCATGTATCTAGTTTCAAAAACAAAATATTCATTCTGGAGATTCATTTTTTTGAAACTTTTGATACACTTGTAATGCTATTTTTCTGTTTAAATAAGTAACACATGCTATTTGAAAACTGTTATCTGTCCACTTAAATTCCTAAAAATTCAAAGTTTGTAAATTTATACGCCCAAAGTTATGAGGACTGTGATATATTAAATATATTTAAAAATATGTTATATTACCTTTATTATGCCATATTTTTCTAATAGTTTATTTATTTCACTAGTTTTCATTGGTTTAAGTATATTAAATGTAACTGAGCAATCCCTTAAAGTATCAGATTCCAGATTCTACAAAATAATAATTGTGCAACATAAGTAACAACTTCTCTTATTTTATTTTTTGATACACAACAATGGCATCTTTATTTTCATTAATTTTTCTGAAAGTAAAAATCTCCCTTATTTACACCCCAGCCCACTTTTTTGTTTATAACCTACCAGCTATGTTTCAAGGGTAGTAATTTTCTCGAAAACTATGGGTTCGACACTAATATTGTTTGTTTTTGATTATTTTTATGTCACCCCCTTCCCTAGTGGAGGAGGAGTGGCTGAGTGGGTAAGGCGGCAGTGTATTAGCGCTCACTGTTGCCAGTTCGACACTCGGTCACGTGCGTTGCTCCATTGGCCGAGTGAGCAATCGTCCGGTGAAAAAGAACCGCCATCCCCCTCTCCGGCAACGGACTGATGACCCGTTCCAGACAGCGAATCTGTCTAGAAACCATCAACTCATGATGGCAGGGTTGGGCCTTAAAGGCCCGTTAAGCTTGATTATAATGTCACCCCTTTCCTACTTCCATCCCTAAGGGTACCTTACATTAACAATAGTTTATTCCAAACTGTTAGCCACATGTACATCGAGTTTGATTGAAATTGTTCCAGGCGTTCTAGAGTTTTACAGGAACATACATACATTTTTTCTATAACTGTTTGAGTAAATATTAAGAGCATAATAATAAAATATAATTGTATTATTTTTTATGAAACAGAAAATATGCATTAACATAGAAACTTATATCGCAGACTTAATTTGTTGTGGGGTGTGTGCTATACAAGCTGAATAGTACGTTGCATCTAAAATAATTAAATAGAGTTTAAAACTTAAATGTTTGAACATTACCCATTACCTAAAAATACCTATTATATCATACATTAACTATAATTGTACGAGCATTTTCAAGTTGAAAAGCTATGTAATAAGTAAAACTAGAACACATTTTTTATTGTTTTTTTACTTAGGTAGCACTCTATTTACTAAAATAAAATAAAAATTGTAAAGTAATTAAAATGTTTTAAAAAATGATTTAATACTTACTTTTGAAGTCAAATCATCTATGACATCTTCTTCATTATCAACATCACTAGTTACCATTAGTTCATTATCTTCTTTTTTAATTTCATTATCAGATAATTTTTTATCCAACACTTTTCGAATCTGAATTAAATTTATTATAACAGAAAAATTGAAATATGTAAATTATACATACATATAAATTGAAATGTAGCTAAAATTAAAAAAAACCCAATTAAAATTGTAACATCTTACTTTAGAAGCGGGTCCATGTTCTTTTACTAGCGTTTTTTCTAGTACTATATATAATAAAAACAATAGTTATAATCAAAGTTACAGGAAATACCATTTTCTATTACCTTCCTTTTTTTCACGAGATTTATTCACATTATTTTGTGTATCACTATTTGAACTCGTTTTTGGCGGTGAGTATTTTTCATTTGACTCAAATGATGGTGCTTGTGAAATTGGTTTACTATTTAAAGTTGATGGCTTGGAAAATGAGAAAAAATGGCCTTTGGATGTATTTTTGAAGTACTGAAAACGTGGATGTTGACTATTTAATGAAAAAACATTATTTTGATAATTCCTTGCATGTCTATAACGATGACAAGCACTATGGAAACTATGACTTGTTATTAATGGTATAAAATCATCAGAACATGGAGGAGGTGAGACAATTCTTGAGGTTAAGCTATTAGGACAATCAAATTGTGATGAAATTCTTGAGTTGGAATTTCCATAAGGATGTAAAGATTGCCGAGATTGATTATTCATGTTTCCTCGATTATATGTTGGACGATAATATTTGTTTTGATTTAGACGAAAGTTAAAATTCTTTGTAACATTAGATGTCCTTCCACATTGGCCCTAGATACAAGAAATAATATTTTATTATAAACTATTAAGTTTAAACATAGTTTACACAGGAGGTTTTTATTAAAAATTGAAATGTTCGATTTTTTCTATATATATTTCAATTCTATCACCTTTATTACTCATTTATAACAAATTTTTTAATGATCAAAATAGTTCCAAATTTGTAAGGAGAATTTTTTAGACAAAGTATTACAAATATATATATGTTGAGAAACCAAGGAGAAATCATAACTTAACTATCATAAACCATTTCCCCCATACAATTCCCTGTAATTTAAAACGTTTCCATGATAATACCATTGATTATGTAATAGATTATATAATAGTCTATTACATAATCAATGATAATACTAAATTACAATTTTAAACACTTTTGCCTTCAAAATGTTTTTACTAATATTTAATATTTCTACAGATTCTCATTAAAGCGTTTATTTGAAACTGTTACAGTAATTAAGAACATTTATGAAATCCTTAATTATTCCAATATGATTAATCCTCACTATTTACCAATCTTACTACTGGCTTTTTTTTTTTTTGGACTGAGTAAATTGTGTTGCTATAACTTTCGTTGATGATTTTACTTGAACTTCATACAATTTGGCACAATACAATTATAATTGGATGGACTTTTTATTGAAATTACTATTTATTAGATTTTAATAAGCTAATTGATTATAAAAATGTTAAACTGTAAAAAGAGTAGCAAAGTAAAAAAACAAAGTCATCAATATATTGATAAAATTCTATGCTATTTAAAAAAAAAAAATTCATATGCTCACCGGTGCACTATAATATTGATATAGAGGGGTCCATTAAATCTTAAAATGATTGTCTAGAGGAGTAGAACACATTTCATGTTACCCATTTACACTGGCACTTGATTATGTATATATGGAAAGATGGGGTAGATTTGAATGAAAAAAATTCATTTTATTTTATGGCAAATTTCAATTTTGAGAGATTCAATGTGTAGTTTAAAGGTTTGTACAGATAATAATACTATTTCCAACCTCATTAATCAAGAAATTTATGATCTATTAATGTTTAAATAAATCTTTATTTATACTCAAATGTACATAATGTACAATACAATTAATTTATTTCACATAAAACTATTTTTCAATATTTAAAGCAAATATAAAACTTAAAAATACAATATACAATATTTCATATGGCATATTTGGGGTTCTCTAATTATTCTTAAAATTTAAGCAACTTTTAATAATTAACTTAGTAAGGAACATTATATTTCATTAATTTTATTTTGGTTCTTAACCCAAACTATTTTATAACTTTAACTTTACATAACAATTAAGAGCTAAGTAATTTATGAATGAAATTCATTCAAATCTACCTCATGGTTCCAAATTTAATTCTACCCCAATTCATAATTGATAATATTTAGTATTATAGTATCAGATAAAATAATTATAATAAGTCAATGTTAGTATTTTTTACTTACAATTAATGAAGTTGCATCTAAAAAATTCTTATGGAAATTAAATAAACAAATTGTGTCTATGACATTTTTTATTTTTTTATCACATATCAGTCAAAATTCTCTGATAACACAATACAATATATCAAACACTGTGCCCATTTTATTTTTTTTTCTCAATATTTTCAGCACAATGAAAATGATTTTATCAGCATTACTCAAATCTATCCCATTTTTCTTTATAAATGACAGATTAAAAAAACTGAGTAACCCAGTATTAAGTAGCTATAAAAATATGTAAGGTCGATTAGGTGATTAATTAATAATAATAATAAATTAAAATTCATAGATTTACAAATATTAAATTAAAAATTCCAGCAAAAGGGAACAGATCATATTGAGGTAGTAAAGTTCTTCAGGAAATGTATATTTGATGCCAAGCAGAGAAACTATTGTATTTACAATGATGCGTTTTTATTAATATATAAATTTTTTTTGTGTCTGGAGGCTAGACTCACAATATCTTTTAAACCGCTGAACTGATTTCTTTAAGTAGCAAATCTATAGATCAATAACCGAAGATAAAAGGTACTTCCATGGGCCAAAATTAAAAAAATTAACCCCTTCCCCTTCAAAACCAAGAAAAACACCCAAAAAGTAAACGTATTTTTTTTACTTAAAATTACGATGCTTTAACTTTTTGAAAATAGTCTAATTAGTTCTAAATTTGTTTAGAATATTCTTTAATCATACTATCAATAATCATTGACAAACCAAAAAAATATCATAAACCCATTTCCCCTAGAAGCAATAAAATTGTTTTACTTATTTCACTTTTTCAAGCAAATTTCTAGGGATTTTAGGGCTGAAAATGAGACAGAATTTAGATCTAGAATAAAACTAAAACATATACAATTTTCTAAAAAACCTGTATTCAAACTTTTTTTTGTAAAGGAAAAACCTAACAAAAGGGGAAAACTACACTTTGACCGTAGTCAATTTCAATGTTGCTAAGTGTGAGTGAATCAAAAGTCAACAGGTAATAAAAATACTTTCATTATATTGTTAATTACAATATATGGGTAACTATGACAATACATTTTTAAAGACAGGCGATCAACCTTAATCGTATCCACCTTAATACTAAAAATTAATTTTATAACACTAAATGTCGTTATTAGGTACAATCCTTATATCAATAATTATATTTTTATCTGTGAGCACTGGATTTCCCTTACTTACTCACTACTACTACTACTAGTACTTATACAACTACTCACTTACGTATAACACTTTCTTACTCTGTTGGTAATACTGTGGTTGGTTTGGACTGTACTATTTTGAACCTACTATCTACAGATTCGCATCAAAGTGTTTATTTAAATGAGATTATATCACTTTGTTAAAATAGTTCCTGTAGACCTGTGACCTCCCTGTTCCCAATATAACCCTGACTCTACTGTACTGGCTTTTACATATTTGGTTTTCCTTAATAAAAAAATTAAAATGATAGTTTTTTTTTTGGAAAATTGTATGTTTTAGTATTTATTTAGATCTACCTTTGGTCTAATTTTCAAACCCTAAAGTCCATACTAAGTTAAAAGAAGTTACTATCCCTTGTATGGAAAAATATTTTTATTTTGTTTGTTGTAAAATTTGATAGAAATTAAAAAATTACCCGGTATTTAGAAGCTTTAAGACTACTTGATGTCTCATAAGTATTGTCATTTGAATAATTATCCTTTGAATGAAAATATCTGGTATTTGTTTGATATTTTTTAACTTGATCTAGAAAATATTTAAAGATGTAGATGAATATATATTAATAAATAATAATTGATGAATTGACACTTAAATTATAATAAAATAGTTTTTTTAATCAATGAGGAAGATTATTATTTAAATGACATCCACTATATAATAAAATACCATTATATATACAATAGACTGTGCTGAAAAAAAAACATTTTTTTACTATCCCTTTTAATCAGTAGTCGCTTACTCTAATAAAAAATCCCCAAAAATGTTAGAAAAAGTTTTATGAAGTTTTCAAGTGTCTCACTTTAGTGTTAAGAAACTTTTTTTAAATTGTAAACATTTTGATTAGTTAACAAGCTCCTTCAATGAAATGTTAAATTAACAATGAATCGAACGCAAAAAAAAAAAAAAATTTAAATCATTGTGGGCCACCTGTATAATATTTTAACATTCACAATCTACATACCATCACAATCATTATTAATTCATAATTGTGTGATGAAATTTGTGAATTCATATACAAACTATTTATATCATATTGCTAATTACTATTATAGTTAAGATATGCAATTGGTTTTAAATCATAAGAAGTTTAAGGATAAGCAAAATATTCGTTGTGTCTTCATTATATTATATACATTATATAAAACATAAAATTCCACTTAAATTATATAACTCTAATTTTATGAACGATAAAATGCAAACTACTTCTAATAGCATACCTTGAGTTTGAGTATTATTTTCAGACATATTATTAATATTTTTTTCAGTTTCGCTCATGTTTTCAGTATTTTCAGATTTTTCAACAATGATTTCATCTGTAACATGATTTTTTTTCAATGAACTTTTAATAACCATTTTAGTTAATATTCAATTACCTTTTCTTAACTGTTCTTTAATAACAACATTAGTAGATTCTTTTCTAGATACATTATCGATATCAATTTCGCTCGTATTAGTTACTGCATTTAATTCACTAAAAAATGTATAATAATATAACATACTCATAATTTTAAACAAAAGTACATTTTTATTTTAAATATAAAATAAGTGTAAAGACAGATTAGTGCCATTGTGCACTAAAAGACATCTGAAATACATCTTAAAATATGTGTAACAGATAACATTATATTTATACCAGATTATTATTGACTAAAATAAGATATATGCAAATATTGTTTCTAAAAATAATCACCCAAGAGAAGATTTGTCAAGCGAACTAAATCAACTAACATCACATCACTGTAAAACTGTGAAATTACTCATCGAAGCTAAGATAAAAAATAATTGAATTGATGTGATGATGTCATTATTCATTTCAATAATTATAAATATTGAATTTAAGTATGATCAAGTGTTGTTTTTGAACGTAAATAAAGTTGAACTATACATACAAATTAATTAAATGATTTATTTCAGTTATTTTCAGTTTACACCAAAAGGCCAAGTCAGAAAAAAATAGAGGCTATGTTCTGTGTTACAATCAAGACTTTTTGTCTTCCTACTTGGATTATATAAAAGGATATAATTCAACTCTAATTTTTGTGTACAATTAAGTCTATATAAATCAACTAAAAAATATTAATATAACCTGGTTATACTATTGTCAACTTCATAATTATTTTTAGTAATTGTCATGATTTTTGAAGGTGCATTATCGTTTAAATTGTTATTTTCATGAGATGTTGATGTTTTCTCAACATTGACCACTATTATATTGTTGTCATTGGAATCTCTATTCTCTAGAAACTGTATTACTTGATTTGGTTTCCTAAAAATAAAATAAAATATATTAAGTAAAAAAAAAAAAAAAAAACAAGTTAAAAAGGTTCATATTTTGTTAAATTCTATACATCTGTAATACTTAAACTAAAAATAAATCCTAAAAAAATTTGAAATTAATATTTTTAGTAGAAAAACGTGTTAAATTTTTAGTGTTTTTCTGGATTTTGAAGACGTAAGAATTGACTTTTATAATTTGGGCCTATAAAAGCCCTCTCCAGTATGAGATCAACAGATTTTTAGTACATAAAAATAAATTTTTAATCGATCAAGTTATTTTTTCTGTAACAAATAGATATAATTTGTTTTTATAAATAAAATTGAATTATAGTATTTACTCTATACTAGTAATTGACAGCCATCATTCAACCTCATTTATAGTTGTTAGTTATTACAATGATAGATTAAGTTAAACCAATGAATTACAAGCATAGAAATGCACTAGAACATTTAAAAAAAACAGTATACTTACGCACTTATCTCCTCCATATCGAACTCCATTTTTTTGGAAACCACTTCCGATTTTTCAGTACGTACTTGGTGCCCTTATTTAGAGTAGAACCATAATATAAATAAATAAAAAAAATTACAAATCTATGTTTTATTAAAGTTAAAGAAAATGCACCGATATACCAATTTATCAATGAATCAATTACCTACTGGCTACTTTGGTGCGCGGACTAAAAACTTAAGAGAACACTTAAGTCTAAACTTCAAACACGTGTAATTAGCTGATGAGTGACTGCGAATTGTTACAGGAACACGAAAGAAAGATTTCAAGTTCAAGTGTAGATCGTACAATATCTGTAAAACAATAAACACCAACCGGGCAATTTGTTTCACCATTCAAGTGACATATTATAGATTATCAAACTACAGATACAATAACCGGTTGTGTGATAACTTACTGTCGACTGTCGATAATATTCTATTTATATCACTTAATAAACAGATAACGACTAGCGAGGTATTTTTATCAAAATAAAAGCTTTTAACGTGTTTCCCCCCGAAATTTGAATGCAATATGCATACAGCATATTGTAGTAAATGTACATTTTTCTACTTAAAAGGATTGAGATTTGAGTGCAGTCTATTTTTTTAGCGTTTCAGACCAAAAAGCCTGAAAAAATGTCGACTAATTAGGATGATCCGATTTTTAATTTATAAAATTATATTAGTTATTTGGCTTCTTTACTAGGTTATGTCGTAAACGTATTTTTGATTTTATGCTTTTTTATGTAAAAAAATATATTTTTAATATAGAATATATTTTTAATTTATTTAATTACAAGAAACTGATTTTTTTTAATGAAAATCTGTTTCCTACATAACCTGGTAAAGTAGTCTAAGAACTCGACGTGTTTTATAGCAATGAAATCGGACTATCCTAAGTAGGCGTAATTTTGTCAGGCTTTTAGGTCTAAATTACCACCAAAATGGCGATTAATCATTGAAAAAATTGTAAAAGTTAAATTTTTTTTTAAATATTGCCTATATAAAACTCTTTTGCTTTTAATCCCCTTAAAATGTCTTTCAAACTTGTGTAGGTTTTTTTGAGATAAAGTACAGCTACCGATGTACAGTTATAAACAGCGAAGTATGAACCTTATCACCTTAAATGGATAGAAGCTATTTCTACGGTTGTTTGGGAACTAATGTTTGAAAGTTAGACTAAAGGTAGATCTAAAACATTCAAAATGTTCCCAAACATCTGTCGAAAACTTATTTTTTTATTAAGGAATAAGGAAAAAGAATAAACCACAAAAAAAAAATTATTGAAATAAATCATTAAATAAATTTGTAGGTATATTGTATAGTTCGACTTTATTCACGATCGAAAACAACACTTGAACTTAAATTCAATACTAAATATTAAATAAATATTAATAATTATAAAAATGAATAATGACATCATCACACCAATTCAATCATCTTTATCTTAGCTTTGATGATAGTAATATTACAATCAAACGAAGTAGACGGGACACAAGAATTCACTTGAATAACATGAAGAAATGTTACGTTTAATGGTTATTATGAATAACTTATTTACTTTCGGATACACGTATTTCTTTTATGTAGTGTATATTTTTTAATTGCAAATTAATACTCCATTTACCAACAACAAGCTGAAGGTATAGCCATTAAAGTAAAAAATTGCCTACTTGACTGAAAATGGTTACAATCTATTATAAAATACCTATTTATTTATTTTTTAAGGAAAACCTTTTAACAGGCGATATTGGTCTGCAGTTTTAGTATGATTACCAAAGATAAAAAAATGAGGGAAAAAAAGGGATCGCACTTTAATGAAAAACGGTGTCGTTCAAGTTGATATTATTCTGATGAAAAAAATAAACTATCAAAAAATAATTCTCGTTGCTGTACTAATTGAAACATTATATAGTAATACCGTTAAATGACTTGTGGTAAAATTGCCTATGCTAAACCCCTTGATAACAATAGGTAAAACATAATATTATTAGTCACGCTACGATAGATTAATAGCCAATAGATTTACCTATTACATAGTATCTACAAAAGCGTAGTCGTCGCCCGTTGCGCTAATGTGTTATGTGTTGTATAGTAATATTCAAAGTTGGCGCTGCTCAAGTGGTTAATACAAAGTGTAAAATATGTAAAACATCTAAAGTTTTTTTGACCCTTTGTTTGGGACAGGGACGCATGCGTGTCGGTATTTGTTGTGGTTGCGGTTGTCTGGCAGTCAACCGTGAATCGGACCAATCGGTGAAAAATCTGTTCATATCCTGTGTGTTCACCGGCTTTGGTGGCGGTTCAACGCGCTTATTCAGTTTCAGTTTCAATTTGTCACCCACGTGATCCGCATGGTTTTTTTCACTTATTATTTTTCGTACGTATTCATAATTTAACACTTTTTTTTTTTTTGAATCCACAATTTTGATCTACTTGCTCATTCGCTGATTACTATCTAACTGAAGTGAGTACTTGGGTAATTTTAATAAGCTTCTATAATAATATGACGTACCACCTACCCAATACATTTTAAATTATATTTAGATATTGTTTTATGGTAAAAATAATACATAACAATCGTTGAAATAGAATTTTAGTGGCCTACTTAAGGTCATTATTGCTATCTCCTCCTAAGAGGAGGTTTTTTAACTTACTAATCAATACATTAATATATTAATAGAAGTCTATAACAATGAAGTAGTAAATACATATCATAAATACATTTTTTGTAAGTTTTAAATAAATAGTTGGTAAACTACTATATATATAAATTAATATGATAACTCGTTTCTCGTGAAATCGCGTACTACTTATCTTTAATTTTTTTTTATTATAATAAGTAATTAATCTTCATCTTTAAAAAATTATTGTTATCCAATGTTGAATAAACTGATCTAAATGGTGCCAGTATGACAACATATTTACGGGTTTAGAAAAGTTAAACTATTTTCTCTTACAAAATATATATGTATTACATTAAACATTCTATGGCATAGATAATATGTTAAATTTCGAAGACAAAAAGTTAAAGGTTCAAGTAAAAAAATTAATAATAATAAAAATGTATAATAATTTCTTAATAATTATAAATCTTATTAAGTCATAATAATATTACTAACTAAATTGTAATTTTATTATAGTTTTTTTTCTTAATAAAAAATAAGTACTTAAAATGATTTATTATATTTTATTTCGATCTGACCATAAATTGACAACTTACAGTGGTCAAATAATAATAACCAAAGCATACCTTAAATTTTTGCCTAAAATCATGCATGAATGCATGCAGATTGTTGAGTAATAATAGGTTACCATGTATCATTATTTTATGCAAATTGAAAACCTTGAGCCGACCGCCTTTTGTTCGAAAGTTTTCGTTTTTGAACTTATAACGATTTATTTAAACAAATTATTGCATTCTACTAATTTCATAAAGTTTATTTTATTTCACCTACCAGTTGGTTACTCACTCATAAAGTTCTAGACATCATCATTATTGAAAATGGTGAAAATAATTTTCCTAATTAGATTACATTACAATAATAATGACGTACAGCCTGTAAAAAAAAGTTATGAACATGAAAATAAAATAAAATGCTAAATACGGGTTTACATTAGTAAAATACATATTTATTTTTAGTTTTATATTTGAGCACAAACGTACAAAAAAAAATTAAGTTATATACGTTACATATTCATAGTCAAGAAATGTGATAAAAGTGTACTTTGTCTACGGTTAAAATTAATACAAAAGAAAAACAATTCATATTATATATTATATTATTATTATAACTAATAATATATTAGTTAATATATATAATATATAGGGTTAGTTAAGATAAATGTACATTTATTTTTTGTACAGAAATTTTCAACAATTCTAAATTTTTAATTAAAAACAACAAAACCATAAGTAAACATATTACAAACGTCAGTGTTTTAAAGAGTGAAAACAAAAATTATAAATGATGGTTATTCAATTTATAAAATTATTTTATTTGCCTCATTTACAAATACACCGTCTTACTATAGAGGGTTTATAGTTTAATACAATTTCATTAAATTATTCAGTTTCCAAAAAAACCTTCAACAAATATTAATGTCTATGAACAAAAAAATAAACGCAATAGTAAAAATTATATATATTTTTTGAAAAGTCTGTAAATATCTCTTAAGTCTTTTTTTTAAATTCAATATATTTTGAGAAATTTAGGTCCTCGCAATTTAATACTTATAACACCAAAACTAGACACTATAAACTATAATTACATGTTTTATTAAAAAAAGCTTCACGGGTTAACTAGAATATTAAAATATTTTCGTGCTTATATTATAAAAAAGCCAAATTAAAAAAAAAATTAACTTTGTTATATGTATTATATACACTTTAAAATACCTGCCGCCCCCCAATGGCGCCTGGTGAACATCTAAAAACATTTAATTAATTAATTATTGAGTTAGTGCAGCAATAGGTTAGAAATATATTTGATGTATGATTGTAATATATAAGTGCTAAATAACTACAGACATCGGCAATTTAGACTTTAGTTTTTCGGATTTTTTAGTTTATTTTCGTCGGGGAACAAAAAAACTAATTGTACTACCTTAGATTTTGATTGATATTATCATACATATAATATATATATATATATATATTCATAAAATAATATTTCAAACTGTCATACTTATAATAAACGTCCTTCAAAGTCCAAAGCCCTTAAGGCTTAATCGTTTACGCGATCACATATTATTAAAACAATGAAACAATAGGGTATAATATATATATATTATGAATGTGTACTTGTTTCCTCGCTAAATAATATGTAGATTAATGATTGTGTACAATCAAGGTTTTTTCAGTTCATCACGATGACAATTCGATGTACCAATTATCTTCAATTCGATTTAGTTTTCAAAAACCGCCGGACACACGCAACACAGGCCTTTTGCTACTTAATAATAATATTCGGTCATTACTGCATCCATCTAATTTAAATTTTTAACATGACATGTTCGTCTGAGGCTCAACAGTTTAAACCTAAAGGACCTCATAAGATTTTGTGTGTTCATTTTTTATTACTATTTTATTACATAGGTTTTAGATTTAAAAAAAAAAAAAATAACATTACGTAGAAACAGTGTAAAATATCGAAACAAACACGCTGAATAAGGTACCCGCGCAGGCAGTGAACCGTAGATCCTTTCGGTGGCTCGAGCAGCACACAGGGAAATTATTTAAATTTGATCACAATAACAGTGTGTCTAGGATGTGGCTATAATAATAATAATAATGATCATTAGCATTATTAAATCGTACGCTGTTTTTTCCTCTTAATGCGAAAATAACCCACACAGCGGCACGGGCCCTGTGTGTACTGTTATTTTTCAACTAGGTATCAATCAGATCAGAATCTGCATTTTAGGTCATAAACTATCATGGTGAGTTATAAGTTTAATTAAAAAATGTTTGGTTAGACTTATACTGCTTTATTATCGTTTGATATTTTCCTTTTTTGTATAAAATCGTTATATTTATTCAAACGTGCTCACCTGGGTAAATTTGTTTTAATAATTTATTAATAAAAATAAATATGCTCGATTAAATAATAATTGTGTTTGGGTTTTTTTTCAGGTCATTCAAAATAAACGCTCGCCACCATGAGGCGATCAAGCAACGCAGTAATCTTGATGACCTCGTTGTTTACACTAACAAGTATGTAAGCCTTTGAGCCATAAAACGCTATTTTCATTTGGGCACAAACATTTATACATTTTAATGCAATAAACTACTGTTGAGTCGAGTTAAATGCTCCAAAAATAGGTCAAGCTGACCATCGCGTGTGCGTGCAGGCAAGACAGTCGATGTTAGGTGTAGCTCCCCTTCATTTTTCACCCTCAAAAGCATATTATATTAGCGTTAGCAGTTAACTCATTTATATTCCGACAAATTACTCTCTTGAAGGTTTGAACACCACAATGACGCAATTCAATTTTTACAAATGTTACGTCTATGTTAGGGTTTTGATCATTACACGTATGTAATAAATTAAAATAAAACTTATTTTAAATGTTAAAAAAATAATCATATTTTGTTTATAGTACTACTAAAGTCCATACTTTTATATATACTCCATATATGTGTATATAAACATTGATTAATTTTTTTTTGGATTTCAAACGCCCTCACACTAGAATTAGTAAAACTTACTTTATAGTTTGTTCTACAATGCGTAACGGCTGGTCTCTTTATCACGTAAATGGTGGAACGAATAAAAAGCAATAGTCAACACTACCTATAAAAAGCGGAGCACCGTGTAAATAAAAAAAAATCAATACCTCAATAAACTTAAATATTTAAATAATTAAAACAAAATGAATATAATATAAAATGATTGACTTATTAATAATTATATTTATAATATATTTTTAGCAGCTATTATAATTTATACCTGCCAGTGAAGCTATTTAACTAATTTAAAAAGTAATTTTTACATTTTAAAAAGCTTTATCATTTTAAACATAATTAGTAAATTATACAATAACACAATGGTGTTTATTATCTACGGACTATGCATCTAAATAACATGATTAGTGTGATTACAAAATGGAACCAGTATAAGAACTAAAAAGTAACCAGATGGCAAATTGTATAATATCGTTGATTTTAAATAATATTATTTATAATATCAATTCATATTATAAAATTATTTATAATAATAATTTCAAACAGGAAAAATCTTGCACAATACAAGTCGAAGAATAATATACAACGTGCTTTTCGTATTTACAGTTTAGTGACTTCTAAGTACCAGCTCTTAGTTTAATTCCTACTTCCTTTACATTAAGTTGAGTTTATTGACACAATATAAGCGGTATTGGGATTGATTTGTGACAAGATTCTGTAGATCGTCTAGTGTCTACTATCAAGGGCGCCCGCAAGTGAAAATTCAGGAGGGAGGTACATTTTTTAACTTGCAGAGAAGCTAGGGGGGAGTTTTCCTCACCTGCCCCTCCCTGCGGGCGCCCTTCTCTACTATGTATTCGTTTCAATCATAGCTTACAGTTATCGAATGCGAATTTCTATATAGTCACTAATTCTATTAAGAAATAAATAGTTAATAAACATGATTGGTTCTGCAATGTACAAGCTAAATATGAACAAACACATATTATAAGTAGTTGACTTTACTAGAGTCATAATATTTTTGACTAAGCATTTACTTTTAAGTTAACTATAAAACTTGTTCCCATTTATTTGTCGTAGTACATAATTGATGAAATCCTATTTTTCCTCGTATTTCTTAAGCGCTTCAGTTACAATTACGAATTTAAAAAAAATAATTGCATATTATAGTATTGAATGTACTGTTGCTACAATTTGCAGCAATAACTTGCTACAAATTCGACGTACAAGTACACTTACAACTGAACATAGAAAAAAAGCGCTTAACTCAAGACTAACAATAAATAGGTAAATTATAAATCATTTGTAACTGTCATATGCAAGTGATCGGGGTAATAAAATACAATAGTCACACTTGTCGAACAATAGTTCTTATAAAAATGTATAAAACAGATTGAGGTCGTTAAACTTTGTATTTTAAGGGTTTTCAAAATAAACCACATCGAAGAAACGCGGTCGAACAAACCGGCACGTACTTACACCATTATTCTTCTATTTATTGTTATGTAAGCAATTGATTCTTGAAAGTAAAACAATAAAACCATTCGTTTTGTATCGTGTATTGTTAAAGAGGACGTCACACCCCTATTTATTAAGGAGTTAGGTATAAATTATTTTTTTTTAAATCTTATTTTAAAGGTTAAACTGTGATGTGTAATTATTAGTTTAGTAATTAGGACTCTTTTTTGGTCGTTAATTTTTTTTCTGATTTCCACAGCATCCTTGACAGCGTTTTAAAAAATTGTTGTCATCTAAACATTATGATTATTCTATAATATTGGTTAAATAATAACTGTGGACAATTTTTTTTTCATATTTAAAATAATGAGGACTTTATCTAGGTTCTCTCGACGGCTTTTTTAATATTATTCACCCAATATACAATTTATATTTTAATTCTGTATTTTTTTTTTTTTTACTTTTTTATTAAGTACTTGAATTTAAGGTAAAATTTAAGTTTTCTAAAAAAACCGACAAGTGAACCTAGTTAAAGTTCTCCTTTTTTTTAACGGTATAAAAATTTGTTTTCTTCGACCATTTCGCTTTGACCTACACGCTTTTCCATAAACATTAAACACGTTTTCACGTTTATTCTTCATGAGTATGACGTCCTTTTAAATACATTTTAAAATTATTGTAACTTGTAAGGTTGTAACTAAAATATCAAAAATCTACACCCAAAGTTCAGGTGTTCGTAAATGGCGGAGGCGGGTGATTTATATTTAGTAATTTGTTTGTACATTGGAATATAAATACTATGTACCTAACCTAACCTATGTATATGTTTGAATTATGACCATGGTCTTCTTTTATTTTATAAATAGTGATATATTTAGAATAGTTTAAAATGTCAATACTATTGGCTGTATAGGCACTAAAAATTACCGAAGTGGCCATACCTATAAACATTTACTTTCAAAATAAGAAATCGGATCACTATTATTAAAATAAAGAATAGCTGACTAATTTGTGTATTTCTTTGAAGTACCTACTTATTCTTTAAAATTGTAAATAATTTCACTGTTTCTAGATGCCGCTCACATGTATACACAGAATTGTAGTAAAGATGAGTATAACCGATGCATTGCTCTTGCCGATCCATTAGTAAAAGATCCACATTTTATTTACCCAGGAAATCTAAAGGATATAGATAATATATGCAGGTAGTCCTGGATTACAATAAAAACAATTCAAATTTTAAGTAAGGTTAACTTTTATATTATAATTTGAATATTAATTATTGTTTAAGAACATGGACTTTATTCGTCGATTGCACAAAAAGATACACTGAACATTGTTTTGAAGAAAGTAAAAGAAAGGTGTTTAATAAAGCTGTGGAAAACTCCATAGAATTAGTTCATCAAATGTGTACTTCTCCGCAGTATCAAACAGGTTATTTATTGTTATATAAGTAATAGAACAAATCTATTTTACCATTCTACATTTTTATCACCTAGTTGTGTGATTTATTTCGCTGAAAATTGGGTCATAATCGAAATTTGGCAGACAGATTTCACTTTAAAATTAAAGCACTAAAACTTTACTTTCATTAATTTTGTTTTTTAATATTTTACTCACTTCTTATTTATCTTTTGTGTCTAACTCAAAAAGTAAACGATAGTTGACTCTGACTTAACAAAAAAGATGTATTTTTTAACCATTGCGGAATCCGACCCTGACAATAACCGACGAATTTTAATCGTCCATAACTTCTAAATTAATTGCAAATGCCGCAAACATTTTGCAGAATTAGTATAAAAATATTATCTTGTTAAAAAAAATCTAATATAAAATTATGATTTGATAGAGTAGATTTATATCGAAATAATGAAAGAATTATGGTGCTGGAATGCACAAAACTTTATTGGTTTTTTGAGTGGCTCAGACTGAGCCATGATTAATCAAATCACAGTGGTCTGTTAACGGTTTTTGGAATCAATACAATTGTGTAACCCAGCATAATGTCTGTACTAATAAATTTATAGTTTTGTTATTTTTAACACAATATAGCTAAATAATTATTACTAATTAAGTATATATCAATTTTAGAATACTTAAAGCACGCTTCATGCTTAAGAGCAACCCTTTTTGAAGATTCTCGTTGTGGAAAACATTATAGGTCATTGGCCAGCTATGTTGCTAACGATACTACTAAACCGGGTATTTGCTGGTATGTATACTAGAAAGAAAATAATGGACTGTATTTATAACTATTCACTACGGTCTATTATTTTTTATTTTATTGTTATTAATAATAGTAAATAATTATTATAGAATTAATACTTAGAATTTGAATTGGTTTCACCTTTTTTAATTAATTACTCAGTAAACTAGTTTTATTCTATCTCACCAATGGGTTGAGTATACAATTAAAGTAAACAATATTTGTATATAGATGACCTGTTAATACCTTATTCGATATAAATTATTTATAAGTTATAATTATACTGTTTACAAAGTAAATAATATGTATTTAATAATGGAAATATAATTTTTTGAATAAGATGATATACAAAAAAGAAGTATTAACAATAAATTGCTAAAATATGTTAACTTGAAACACGTTGATTTTTTAGCACTCATCACAGATTCAGAGAATGTGTTCTTGATCAAACACGAAGAACTTGCAACCAGGACGACGATTCATTTACACATCAGTTACTAGATAAAGCGTTTGGATTTTTCCGCAATCAATGCATTGACTATGCGTGAGTATTTCAATAATCAAAATCTGTTTGAGAGGCTGAAAGCAGTATTTATTTTTGATTTTTTACTTTTATGCTACTACTTTTCAACGATAAATAACTACATACGTAATAAATAATATGATCTTGAAAAATATAATTTCGGTTTTGATTTTTCTTAGGCCTAACCAAGATGAATGCCCGGGTTATGAGTATTATAACACGATGACTACCAACAGGTGGCAAGAAGATAAGGGAAAAGGATCGCCAAGCCCTTACCCTTGTATGTTTACTAAAAAATATTATTTTACATTTTAGTTAAAAAATCTGTTCAGAATTTGCTTTTCTGTTTGATTAACTTTTTCGACGGTTATATTTTACGTAGTATTATAATTGATTTACGCTTAGAAAACTACTTTGAAGATGGATTTTTTTTTACAGCGACAAAACGGCAAGACGATGATTGGTCAACGTCAATGGGAGGAGAGAGGACCAGCAGGGCTCAGACAAGTGGAGGATCTTTTAGTACCCCGACTTGGCGTGTGTCGGATCCCACTAAAAAGCCGGACACGAGTTACATGACTAACGTGATCGATGAACCTAACCAACAGGGCTTGGCAAAAAACACTGGGCTGCGTGAAACCGGCACCAAAATCTCCTATTTATTCTTTATCACTGTGCTGGCATCACTTTTAATCTCTTCAGGAATCATAAAATTCCTCACGTAATATGTTACCTAGACCTAAAATATATTATTTATTTTTAGTTCAATAGATATATTATTAAATATTATAGATTTCATAGTCGCAGTACCCGTTGATACAGATAAAATAATACTAGTTAAAGTGCAATAGACAGTGTTTTCAATACCTTGAGATGATATAATAATTATTGTCGGTATTATTTATTCAACACGTGAAAGTCACACTGCCGTTTTCGACCTTATAAACACTGATATGGACAACAATTTAGCAGTATTGACTCAAAATAAAAATTTGTTTTCTCATGATAGCAATGATAAGAATACTATATGTTAGTATAGTTTTTTTATTAAGTATTAAATACATTCCGTCCTGTTGTATAGAAAATACCCAGTCAACTATTATTGGGAATGTAGTAATGGCACAATGATAGAATACAAACTTTATTTGTATTGTCGTCCATTAGATATTAGAATATTATACAATGTGTACTTTATAACTAAACTGTGATTTTAATTGTTTATCCATAAGGTTTACCATTTTTCCTTTAAATGATGTTTGCCCTTTGATACTACAATTTTGTTTTTATTAAACTAATCACTAATGTATTGCACAGAATCTTCTTTTAAAAAATATATCAGATATATGTTATTATGGAACAACAGTAATTATTTTAAAGAATATGTGTTTAGATCATAATAATTATTTTATGTATGCACATTGAAAAAAGTATTTTACTATTTTTGTTATGATTATTTTGTGTTGTATTTTAAAACCAGATATTTAGAATTTATTATAATAAAGTTCTACTCATCTAAATTTGGTATTGTATTTGGCGTACTTATTTTAACAAAATTAAGTATGAAAACATTTTCCTGGAGATTTTCAAATGAGAAAATTATGTTCAACAACATAGTTATAAAATAATCGTATAGTATCAAAAATAACATACAAATCTAATTTTAACATAAAACTCATACGCTCGAGGTACTGGCTTTGATACTCACAACGGTAAATAATGATTTAAATTATTTCCTTTACAAAAATAAAATTCACACAATATATATATAGGTAAAAAAAGTAAACTTAAAAATAAATATACATTTAAAAAGGTAATTTTCGCGTGCAGGCGCGTGGCGGAGTGAGATAAGGCGGTAGTGTATCAACGCACGGTCGCCGCGCCGCGCCGGTTCGAATCGCAGCCACTGGAGTGACTGGCTGTTCGTTCCACCGGGCGGGCTACTGTCTAGGGGCAAAAATGGCCACCTACACCTCTCTCTGGGGCCAACTTGTTTGGTAGTTAGGTCGGCAGCCAGCTCTAAGCCCAAAAATGCCAAATCTAAACAGTCTCAGCCCCGATTGGCGGGAATAACGGACGTTAAACGTAAGAGAGAGAATTTAAAAAAGGTAATTTCCGAATGATGAAAATTGAAAAGAAATATTGATGGTATTATTAATAGTAAGCTTAATTAATAATAGGTTAATAGACTAATAATTGAATAACCATGTTTTACAAAAATAATAATAACAATAAATTAAACAAATATATATTAACAACCTACATATAAAATAAATTAATCAATTAAAGCACCCCATAAGATTTACGTAAAAACTAAACATGAAATGTAATTTTATAGATATAATATAATACTTTATATAATTAATAGGTGTCAAATGTGTGAATTCCTTCTCTGTATATACAAACTTGTCAACTGTCTGTAAATATTAATATTACTTATTGTACAAAATGTATAGATTGTAATTCATCAAAATAAAGAGAAAAAAAAGATATAATATAATATGAATTTTATATTATTATGTTTACTAAATAATATACTATCCATCCGGTGTCCAACGCCACGGTATACCATTGCAGTAGCGGCCCTGCTAAGAATAATATCCAATTTAAGGGGATTGAAAGCGAGCAGGTTTTAAGGAATTTTATATAGGCAATATTATAGAATAATTAGTATAAGCTTCCAGGTATTATTTTTAATTTACACAATTATTTCAATGAATAAACGTCATTTTGGTGGTAATTTATACCTAAAAGCCGACAAAATTATGCCTTCTAAAGATACTCTGATTTCAATTGTGTAAAAAATGTTGAGTTCTTTGACTACTTAGTAAAATAACATAATCTAATAACGTTATGTAGGAAACTGATTTCCATTTAAAAAATGTAGTTTCTTGTAATTAAATAAATTTAATTAAAAATATTTTTAATATTAAAAAACAATATTTTTACTTACAAATTCAAAAATCCATATCCGACATAACCTAGTAAAGTAGCTAAAGAACTCATATAACTTTACAAAATGGAAATCGGATCATCCTAAGTAGTTGATATTTTGTCAGGATTTTTGGTCTAAAACGTTTAAAAACAGGCCGCTTTGAATCCCCTTATAAACTATATGCTGTATGATATGTTGCATATCCAAAAACCTTAAGTATGTGTGGTAAATTATAGGAACTTATACATGATGTATTTTTTTATGGTGATGCATTGTGAAGGTGGGGCCATGGTCAAGGACAAATTTTAACAAAATGATTTTGTGAAATGTCACACTGAAAAGATACTCTTCGAAATGTTGTCGACAGCTGTAGCCTGTAGGCACGACAAAAACTCATTATGTCGTGCCTAAATATCCGTAGATACAAATCGGTAGTACATCACACTAATATTATTATTATTATATTATCTAGAAAACTTTTCTTTTAATACAATTTTAACCATTATTAAAATAATTCATATTTGTTAATGTCAATGTCAGCACAAAACTGTACTCATTGTGTTATAGTCCAGTCATCAGACTGTCCCATCGGGGGGTACCAAAGAAGTTGAAGAAGAGGAAAACTCCCTACGGTGCCAAACGTCTAAAATATTAAGTTTACTTAACATTTTACAACACCCACTTAAAAATGTACTTTACAAATTAAATAAAAATACTGCATTTTTAATATTCTTTTTTTTTTTAGCCTAATTTGGTTATTTTATGTTCTTTCAACCCTTACATGTACAGTGTACACTGTATAGTATAAATACCCAACAGAGGCAGAAGTGAGAGGGGGAATCGTGTCGGTTATGGGGGAGGGGGTGGCCAAACGTATGCCAAATATGGAAGTAGTAAGAAACAGAAACTTAAAAACATCCCTCTACCTCTCAGCTCTCTACAAGATAAGTATCGATTAGAGAAACCAGTAATTTAATTTTCGGTGTAAAACATCCGTAAATATATAATTAAATAATAAAAAAGTTTTTCAGCCGAGTCTGCAACCACGAAAGAGCATTTTCATGTCTCGTTGAAGTACCGAATAAATTTGAGTAGTATTATAGATCAAGCGGTGGCTAGTAAACATATCAAGTTTCTGGCTATTATTTTAGTGTTTTCATAATATCTGGCCTTAAACAATTCATAGAGAATTTGGCCCCATAAAATAGTTTTATTTAGTTCTAGTTTGATCGTTGTAAATACAACACATAATTTAAAATAACAGCGTAACGCTTTTTTGGTAACACTTTTTTCGGTTATGTGCTAATTCCCCTCCCCCCTTTCCTCTAACCCCATCTCCGTTTCCGTGACACTTTTGACATTTGCATGTCTTAGCTCTGGCACATAACCCTGGCAAATAACCGAAAAAAGCGTTACCATAAAAGCGTAACGAAAAAAGCGTTGCCAAAAAGTTTTTCAGCCGAGTCTGCAACCACGAAAGAGCATTTTCATGTCTCGTTGAAGTACCGAATAAATTTAGATAAGTTGTGGAATTATAATTTTAAAAAAAAATTACATGGAGCTTCCAGTTACAGCATAAGGCCAAGGAAATTAAAAAATTATGTACAATCAAGTTTCTGGCTAAAATTGTAGTGTTTATTATCTGGCCAAAAGTAACTTAACATAGAGAATTAAACTATTTTTAAATTTTTTATTTAGTTCTATGTTGAACGTTGAACGTACAACATATCTCTTATCTCATATCAGATAACAGCATAACACTTTTTTCGTTACGCTTTTTTCGGTTATGTGCCAGAGCTAATTCCACCCCATACCCATTCCCACCCCTATCTCCCACCCCTATGACCTGTCCCAACCCCAACTGTATCCCACCTCCACCCCTTATCTCCTACCCCTACTTCCACCACCAACCCATCTCCGTGTGGTAACGCTCATTTGGTAACGCTTTTTTCGTTACGCTTTTTTTCGGTTATGTGCCATAGCTAATTCCACCCCTTTACCATTCCCACCTCATCTTCAACCCCATTTCTTTTTGACATTTTCATGTCTTAGCTCTATATAGGGGTAGGGGATAGGAGGTTAGTGATAGGGGTAAGATATAGGAGATAAGAGATCTGTTGTATGTTCAACGTTCAAATTAGAACTAAATAATACATTCAAAACAGTTTAAGGGCCCAATTTCTCTATGAATTGTTTTAAGCCAGATAATAAACACTACAATTTTAGCTAGGAACTTGACGTTTTATTATACTAGCTTGTTACCGCTCGTTAATATACTATATCATTATGTATAATTCCACCACTACTCTAAATTTATTCGGTACTTCAACGAGACATGAAAATGCTCTTTCGTGGTTGCAGACTCGGCTGAAAAACTTTTTTTGGTAACGCTTTTTTCGGTTATATGCCAAAGCTGGTTATTTGCCATAGCTAATTCCACCCCTTTCCCATTCCCACCTCATCTTCAACCCCATTTCTTTTTGACATTTTCATGTCTTAGCTCTGGCACATAACCCTGGCAAATAACCGAAAAAAGCGTTACCTAAAAAGCGTTATCAAAAAAGCGTTACCACACGGAGATGGGGTTAGAGAAGGGAGATAGGGGTAGGAGATAGGCGAGAAAATTAGCCGGTACATAACCAAAAAAAGTGTTACCAAAAAAAGCGTTACGCTGTTATCTGATATGAGATAAGATAAGATATGTTGTACGTTCAACGTTCAACATAGAACTAAATAAAAAATTTTAAAATAGTTTAATTCTCTATGTTAAGTTACTTTTGGCCAGATAATAAACACTACAATTTTAGCCAGAAACTTGATTGTACATAATTTTTTAATCTCCTTGGCCTTATGCTGTAACTGGAAGCTCCATGTAATTTTTTTTTTTATTATAATTCCACAACTAATCTAAATTTATTCGGTACTTCAACGAGACATGAAAATGCTCTTTCGTGGTTGCAGACTCGGCTGAAAAACTTTATATTTTTGGTAACGCTTTTTTGGTGACAAGTTTTGGTAACAAGTTTTTCCATGTATGTGCCAGAGCTAAGACATGAAAATGTCAAAATAATGTTTCATTACTCTATATTGTATTGAAATAATTTGACCCGTGAATTTAAACAGAAACAAATTACATAAAAATAAAAACGCCATGTTTCGAATGTTTAATAACCCAATAAATAATTTTAATTTTTAATTGATGTAGATTTTTTTTTTTTATTGAGTGCCTAAAAGGTTTTAATGTTCATCATGGACCTAACCCACCATGGGCTGGAGGAAGGTCGTTTTGTGCACAAGTGTATTCTGTATTCGTTTATGCCTGCGCTATGTTCCTACATAATCAAAAACTACTTTTTAAGCTTATTTACACCAACGATTATAAATAAAACATATTAACACAATCAATTGAATATAATGCGA